ATCCAAGTTTTACATTGAAATATATAGGAAAAATCTTTAAAAATCTTCTTCTCAAGAACCACTGGTCCAGAAAAGCTGAATCTTATGTGGAAGCATCCTGGGGTAGTGTAGATTCTAAATTGTTAAAATCATGACCCCCGAGGGTAGGGCGGGGCCACAATAGGGAATCCAAGTTTTACATTGAAATATATAGGAAAAATCTTTAAAAATTTTCTTCTCAAGAACCACTGGTCCAGAAAAGCTGAAACTTATATGGAAGCATCCTGGGGTAATGTAAATTCTAAATTGTTCAAATCATGACCCCCAGGGGTAGGGCGGGGCCACAATAGGAAATACAAGTTTTACATTGAAATATATAGGACAAAAATCTTCTTCTCAAGAACCACTGAGCCAGAAAAGCTGAAACTTAAGTGGAAGCATCCTGGGGTAGTGTAGATTCTAAATTGTTCAAATCATGACCCCTGGGGGTAGGGCGGGGCCACAATACGAAATACAAGTTTTACATTGAAATATATAGGAAAAATCTTTAAAAATCTTCTTCTCAAGAACCACTGGGCCAGAAAAGCTGAAACTTATGTGGAAGCATCCTGGGGTAGTGTAGATTCTAAATTGTTCAAATCATGACCCCCGGGGGTAGGGCGGGGCCACAATAGGGAATCCAAGTTTTACATTGAAATATATAGGAAAAATCTTTAAAAATCTTCTTCTCAAGAACCACTGGTCCAGAAAAGCTGAATCTTATGTGGAAGCATCCTGGGGTAGTGTAGATTCTAAATTGTTCAAATCATGACCCCCGGGGGTAGGGCTAGGCCACAATAGGGAATCCAAGTTTTACATTGAAATATATAGGAAAAATCTTTAAAAATCTTCTCCTCAAGAACCACTGGTCCAGAAAAGCTGAAACTTATATGGAAGCATCCTGGGATAGTGCAGATTCTAAATTGTTAAAATCATGACCCCCGGGGGTAGGGCGGGGCCACAATAGGGAATCCAAGTTTTACATTGAAATATATAGGAAAAATCTTTAAAAATCTTCTTCTCAAGAACCACTGGGCCAGAAAAGCTGAAACTTATGTGGAAGCATCCTGGGATAGTGCAGATTCTAAATTGTTAAAATCATGACCCCCGGGGGTAGGGCGGGGCCACGATAGGGGGAATCCCAAGTTTTACATTGAAATATATAGGAAAAATCTTTTAAAATCTTCTTCTCAAGAACCACTGGACCAGAAAAACTGAAACTTATGTGGAAGCATCCTGGGGTAGTGTAGATTCTAAATTGTTCAAATCATGGCCCCTGGGGGTAGGGTGGGACCACAATAGGTATTACAAGGGGGAAAGTCTGGTAATGAACAGCATGGCCAAAGTTACTCAGGTGAGCGATGTGGCCCATGGGCCTCTTGTTTTCCTGTAAAATCTGAATAGAGAAAGCAGAATTTTATTGATGGTGTTTAAGATTTTTAGCGATTCAGAACTGAACCAAAGTTATTCGCTTTGTGGTGTGCAATCCTTAACAACGCTTATAGAAAGGGATTTTTCGCATCCTAATTTCTACTTTAATTTATCAATTTAATTATATTATTAATTAATAATTTAATTCTGGTTGTAACGCTGTATTTGATTGGATAAAAAAATTAATCGTATAAAATTAGTTGCCTACATCACATGACTTGCGTCAAAAACGTACCGATCTGCCTGACGTTACATTCCAATTTTGTACAAATTGAAGTCATTTTTAAGGACAATAATCTTTTTTTCTTACACCAAATGAATGAAAATTAAATTATAAAGAATGTATTTAATAGCTACCCAATTTATACGGTATAAACTGGGTTGGAACAGTTCACGCTTTTTTTATAAACCGCTTCGCGGTTTATAAAGCGTAAATTGCCCCAACCCAGTTTATACCGTATAAAATGGGTAGCTATTAAATTCATTCCTGAAATTAATTTTTCTAATTTATCGTACAAGAAAAAGTGAGAAAAGTATTCTCTTATCAGAAACTACTAGAGTGCATGAATTTACATACCACATATGCATTCGTTCTTAATCGTTTAGGGAACTGAGCGACACTTGGGAACCATTGTCCGGCGTAAATCTGTCACGTCTATCTTGAGAACCGGAAATGCTAGATTGCCCGGCGTAAGTCTGTCACAGTCTATCTTGAAACCGGAAATGCCGGGGATCTGGTGATTTGTGCACGTATTCCTTAAAATAATTGGTTAATGACCCTAAACTCAATTCTAAAGTTTTGAGCTTTCTTTTTAAAAAAAATACATAAGCTTTATATTTTTAACATGAGGGATATGGCTGTAATACTTATACAATGTTTATCACACAAAACGTTCTCAAATTACCAAGGTGACTGACCTTGACATCTTCAGTTATCGTCTAACTTATATTATATAAAGGTAGTAGAATTTAACAAGGATATGGCTTGTTGGAGCACCATTGAAACTTTTAAAGAATTGTCATGTAAACGACCCCTTTTTCAACAACTTTTATTCATTATTAAGTAATCCGGTATATCTGAGAGAATAAATTTTTGTTGCCCCGCCATGAATATGGCCGGGGAATATAGTTTTTGTCATGTCCGTCTTCCGTCCTTCTGTCCTTCCGTCACACTTTGCATTTAGCTCTGTTCAAAGCTAAGTTTCAAAGAAAATATCCAAGATATTTTTATCAAACTTCATATGCTGATAGATACTGATGTAAGCTATTCAACTGCATCAACATTTTTTTACCTTGACCTTTCTTTTGACCTTGACATTACTTTTCTTAAATTAGTGTTTAGCTCAGTTTTAAAGATACCATTCAAGATAGTGTAATCAAACTTCATACGTTGATACATACTGATGCAAGCTATTCAACTGCATCAACATTTTTTTACCTTGACCTTTCTTTTGACCTTGACCTCACTTTTCTTAAATTAGCGTTTAGATCAGTTTTAATGAAACCATTCAAGATATTTTTAAAAAACTTCATATGCTGATACATACTGATGAGAGCTATTCAACTGCATCAATATTTTTTACATTGACGTTTCCTTTGACCTTGACCTCACTTTTCTAAGATAAGTTTTTAGCTCAGTTTTAAAGATACCATTCAAGACAGTGTTATCAAACTTCATATGCTGATACATACTGATGAGAGCTATTCAACTGCATCAACATTTTTTGACCTTGACCTTTCTTTTACCTTGACATCACTTTTTCTTAAATTGTTGTCAAACTTCATATGCTGATACATACTGATGAGAGCTATTCAACTGCATCAATATTTTTCACCTTGACCTTTCCTTTGACCTTGACCTCACTTTTCTCAATTTGTGTTAAAATGTTGCATTACTAATATACCCTCGGCGGGGCATTCATGTCCTATGGACATATTTCTAGTTTAAGATATTTTTTAAAATACAGGTAATGAAAATCACTTTGCTGAAAATGTGAATTCATTGTTAGCGTATTCGCTGCAATCGTCTTTTACTGTATTAATCTGAATTCATTGTTAGCGTATTCTCTGTAATGGTGTTTTACTGATGTATAAATATCGCTATTGTAGGGGGTTCAAGTGTTCCTGTAATAGCTATTTTATAATGTTAACTACATGCTGCATTGAACTTTTGAAACTCAATCTTGTTGAAATAGTGATATAATCTGACATTAAAATGGAAAAAAAATGTATGAAAAAATTAACAATATGAAGATAATTCATAAAATATTTAGCAGTTAAAGAATAAACATTTACTGGTGATAGCAACTCAAAGCCGAGAACGTTTATAAGCTCATAGACGCAGTGTGACGTTACACGTTTATTTCATTAAGTGTCCTGTTCATAGTATTTGATGGCGCTTGGAATATTTTTTTTAAGCTTTAAATGAGAATTTTAAAAGTAACCTTTAAATTGTTTATTGATTTCAAGTCTACGTGGGAACATTTAAATTTATTCATAAAAATCTTCATCTTTTTTCTGCGATTTACTAGGTTACTTTGAGGACTAATTTAGATATATCCTAAAAACAAAACTGTATTTCTTAATTGAAAATGAATATATTTATAACTTTTGAGACTTCCTTGTCAGATTCTGCAGCTCTTGTCTGTGTGATTATATTGTTGTCGTAAAGGATTCGGAATGATGATGTCCTGTAAACCATAATGAGTTGTACATGCAATCAGGGGTGAATTAAATACAGAGAAATAAAAGGTAAAACTGCCCAGAGATATATAACAAGATCCTTCTCATTAATATTTCATTCTCAGGGAGTTTACGTTTGGACATTGTCTTGTCAAATGCTGCTGGATAAGCCAGATACATATTTTCCCAGAGATGCTATTTAAAGGTCATTGCACAAAGATTACCGCTCAACAGCAGTAGATGCACAGTCTACCATATAAAGATACACTAGTTAATTGTTTATTAAGACTAATAAAATTCGTGCTGATGTCAATACTCCGACCAGCGGGCCGCTTAAGTCAATACAGTAAGGTAACGCGCGAGGCCCCATAAGTCAATAATAATCCCTCTGGTGTTTTGACATTTATTCCTATATATTGGGAGGTTTGTTGATTCTCAATGGTTGTAGCCTTTGACGGAGTTTGATATTCAAATATAACCATTCTGTTCAGCCTATTGATCTTTTGACGGCTTATTGACTTTGTATAAATTTTCCCTGTTTTATAATACCCTCTGCTGGCCGTTCATTACTAGAGTCAGAGTCTGAAGATGTCAGAGCGCGGATTTCGTTTTCGGCGGAATCTGTTTAACTGTCAATGACAGTCTCCTGATGACAGCCTCGTTCTGATATTGACAGCAGACTGAAAATTACCAGATAAACGGAACGTTTTCACGCAGAAGTAGGCGGCGAACCCGATTCACAAATCACGATATTTCGAAGAAAGTTGTAGCTGGGAAAAATTTCTTTAATATATGCCAATCGGTGTTTTTAATTATTTCTGATTTAAGAAAAAAAAGGATGTTAAAATTAGGATTTTACCGATAACAATTTTTTATCCCGGAATTACGACGAAGTAGACATTGTTAAGTTAATGAAACGAAGTGTAAAGGGATTGTATTCTCGGCATCCAAACATTAAGTGTATTCTACTGGAACAGACAACGGACTGATTTACATTTTCTGGCGACATGGAAATGGGATACATTGATTGCATAATTTCAATACAAACCACGTGCGTTATATAGCCGGGTACTGTGATAAATTGTCTGAGAAACTGTGTGACGATAAACGACGGGGATGGACCGGATATCAGTGAACAGATTCTCCTTCCGCCGGAAGGGAAGCCATAAGAAGAATAAGGAGGAACAGTCCGAACCCGAGTTTGATTACACAAAACTTTCGTATATCAGGTAGGATGAAATGTCGTTCCCGAATTTTTTTATTGACAAATATATTTCAAGATTGAAAAAAAAATTGTCATTTTGACAATGATCGACAAAAGTATTGTAATATGCAATATGCTGCTTTCACTATCAATAAATCTTTCGCTACGATTAGTGATAGTAATTAATTAGTTTATATATTTATTTATTAAACTTTGTAATCTATAAGCATTGCTCAAAGAATAAAAACGAAACATGAGAGAGAGAGAGAGAGAGAGAGAGATCTGAATTTTGATAATGAATCAATTAGTAAAATGAAACTTTAAATCACCCCAAGAGAATTTGCATATACTGGCCAGAAAATTTCTAACATTATTGATTATTAAATTGGAAATTGATCTGTGAAACGACTGAATCATATAGTGGAACCATGATCGACACATTTTTCTGTAACTAATGCCTTTAGTTTTTGTGGATGGTTACATGATTTTGCAGTAAACATTTTTATAATAAAGATGTTTGTAAGATAAAGATGGAGTTATGCCCCGTAAGAAGCATTATCCCATTTTATACTTTGGAATATGAAAATCTCCAAATACATGTTTTCACTTCCATTTTTTTCTACTGAGCTTGTAACTAAGTAGATTCTTTTGACGAATTACTTCCAGACGAAATCTGATTTTCATATTAATCGACTAAGGTTTGGAAGACTTTCCCCCCTGCATTCTAAGTTTGTAAATATTTATTGGCAGTATTCTTTATGGGATTTGCTTTGGTATTTAAGAGTCTCTTTTATATTGCGAAGGCTTGTGGATATCGTACAACATTGTATTGTTGTCTAACATATCGTACAACATTGTATTGTTGTCTAACATATCGTGCAACATTGTATTGTTGTCTAACATATCGTGCAACATTGTATTGTTGTCTAACATACATGTATCGTGCGATTTTGCATCGTTTTCTAACATATTGTGCGATTTTGCATTGTTTTCTAACATATTGTGCGATTTTGCATTGTTTTTTAACATATCGTGCGATTTTGCATCGTTTTCTAACATATTGTGCAATTATGTATAGATGTGTAACATATAGATGTCTTACATGTACATATTTTGCAAACCGTCACTATAGCCCAGTAGACAGGATAGAGCCCTCGATCCATAATTACAGCGTCATAGGACCGCGTCCCGGTTACAACAAACCTCACTCAAACAAGCAAATTCAAAGAATTGTGGCCCCCGCTTTAGGTGTCTTAGTGGTTGAGATGCAGTTACTTACGGCGTATTGTAACTGTCTTGTCTCTGTGTTCTGTCCTGTCTGTCCATCGTACAAAATACATAATACAATCCAAAAGATCCTGTCAGAGGTCATTCATGAGAAAAACTCTGTCTGTTCTGAAGCAAAAGGTACGGCCAGATTTCTTTTAATAAGTAGGTCAAACTTTTAGGTCTAGATAAAGGTTATGAAATCAAAAATGGTAGTGTTGTCACTGGTAATCATTTTACAGAAGTATGCTTGTAATTCCTCTACAATATATCTTTATTGAACATAGGTACATGAATATAAGCCTCTCATGTTATAAGTCTATTTCGTGTCCTTATCGTAGATAAATAGTCCCAGTACTGTTATTAATTTTGTTGCAACAGATCTTAAACCCCTCTTATAATAATCCTTCTGACGAACCAATTAACAACTTAAACCTGGGTTACTATAGTACCGGGGCCGCTATAGCGGTCAGAGTTTATGTATTACTGGGGCTACTATAGCGATCAGAGTTTTTGTAGTTAAAAATGCAAGAAATCTTTGAACGTCCTCAAAACAAAAGCTGGACAATACTGACAGTTATATAAATATTAACGAAATTTGAAGAAATTATGAAATTTGTTCGAATAATGACACCAGCCCTTGGGCCAAAATAGAAGGTTGAATTGTGAAACGAAAATTTCCTGCGCTTGTCCAATCTTGGCGGAATTTTGCGGATGGGACAAATTTGCCAATGTTACAATCGCAAAATATTTTAAGATACCAATTTAGATATCTTTTAAATAAACCATCTTTTGTTGTCAAACGTGGTAAGTAAGGCTGACGTTACGGTAGTTTTTAGCCTGATTTACCCAGTAATTTTATAGCTAAGAACTCTTATAATATGAAGGTAAATAAAGGCTAACTGTGATATGTTATTAAATCTTCTCATCAACATGTCTATCTTGTATGAAATACTTAAAACCATGCTGTGTTTCTACAAAATCCTTAATATTCGCTGACATACTTCATATCAGTTGAATGCCTTTTCAAATACTAACCAAATTCGGATTATTTCCTCTACTTTATCAATACATTGGGCTCAAGGCGTTTGGGACGCTTACTCCTCGAAGGCACCTGATCTCACCTCTGGGATTTCCGGGGATCCGGGTTTTATGTCCTATTCACAGATTTGTATTGTTTATAGATTTTTTTTTTAGATCGATTACTGTTCGCTATCTTCATCTTTTATATATAGATATATCACTTCATTCAGATGAGGAATTGTACATATTTAATTGGTTTGACTGTTTCACATGCTTGTTTTCTTCTCTAGTGAGAGCTGTGCGTATAGAATACCATCAATAGGACATCTACAGGCAATTATTTTTCGTCAATTAATGCTTTTTATCAAGAAAAGATCAGATAACACTTTGGTTTACGACATGTATTTCCTCTTCATATTAAAGGAAATCCAGTTAGATGTCGTAAATTAGTGTCGTAAATTAGTACAAACACGACTTACGGCACAATCAGCGTCTGTCTTGAGTGGTTTTTATCCATCTAAGAATCTTGGTGAATGGAGTAACAGATAAACTCATTGTTCTGTAGATTTGTCATTAGTAAATACTAATGGCAAAAAGGAATACATTTACAGAAGTCAATGTGGCCGATAATGAAACCCAGCAAACTCTAGAGACTGTGTCAGGGCCTATAAAACCAATCATTTTGGTACGAGATCTTGAAATGGTCGCTAATTTGTAAGGCTTTCTCTGTCAGAGATACATTATATTAGGCTCTGTAGAGTGCATCTATAGCAAATTTAAACATTTTCTAAATATTTTGTAAATAAAGTGGCAAACTTTATTTAAGAGTTTAACAAGCTCATTTTCAGTTATATTCTGTTCCAAACATATAAAATGAACATCTCGGGTAAAGAGTGCGTCTAGCATATATTCTGTCGTATTCTAAAAAATCCATGAACATATACATTGCCGTTTTGTTTTTAGGTCTCTGCCCCCATGGGGCATGAGGGGTTATGCCAAAACCATCAAAACTTGAAAGTCTTCTGTACTCTTGGACATCAAAAAGTCAAATTGTTGGTATGATTGTAATAAACATTGAAGCCTCTACCAAAATTGTGAAATTAATGGCCCAAGGCTCAGGAGTGTAGTTTAAGGGTGGGGCTCTATATATCATATACTGAAAATGCATAAATTCTTCAAAAATCTTTTTCTCGCCATATATATATTAAGCAAACAAACTAAGTGCATTGATATGATGAACAAGAGAGCATCCTTCAAAATTGTGAAATCTTTGGCGTGGTGCCTGTGGTACCTTGGTCAGACATTCAGGCAGGGCTCTATTGATCACTCAGTAAAAATTCATAAGTTCTTTGAAAATCTCTGCCCCCTTGGTATTTAGAATATAAAAATACATGGTTATGATGAGCAATTGTACTTCTTTCAAAATTGTGAAATTCATGGCCCCTTGGTCAGGGATTCTAGAATTAGGGTAGGACTCTATTGATCTTTTAGAGAAAATGCATTTATTTAATTCTTTGAATTTTGCAATGTTGTAGTTTTAAAATGAAATATGGAGATAATGAACAGTATGCAAGCTCAAAATCTATTGTAAATAATGTAATTGATAGGTAAATTGAATAAAAAAAATTGTACAAGATTTTTAATGGTTTTTAATAGTAAGGTAGAGGTATAAATAAAAAAAAATGATAGAAAATGAGACAAAGAATACCCGATATATGTACATTAAATATAATTCAGAGATCAATAACGTCCATTGTTGTCTAGGGACTGTGCTGGTAGTACTGTGAAATATTGTGTGTTAATAAGTACTACTGTCTGGTAATATTGTGTGTTAATAAGTACTACTGTCTGGTAATATTGGGTGTTAATAAGTACTACTGTCTGGTAATATTGGGTGTTAATAAATACTACTGTCTGGTAATCTTGGGTGTTAATAAGTACTACTGTCTGGTAATATTGTGTGTTAATAAGTACTACTGTCTGGTAATCTTGTGTGTTAATAAGTACTACTGGCTGGTAATGTTGTGTGTTAATAAGTACTACTGTCTGGTAATCTTGTGTGTTAATAAGTACTACTGTCTGGTAATATTGTGTGTTAATAAGTACTACTGGCTGGTAACATTGTGTGTTAATAAGTACTACTGTCTGGTAATATTGTGTGTTAATAAGTACTACTGTCTGGTAACATTGTGTGTTAATAAGTACTACTGTCTGGTAACATTGTGTGTTAATAAGTACTACTGGCTGGTAATATTGTGTCTTAACAAGTACTACTGGCTGGTAATATTGTGTGTTAACAAGTACTACTGGCTGGTAATATTGTGTGTTAACAAGTACTACTGGCTGGTAATATTGTGTGTTAACAAGTACTACTGGCTGGTAATATTGTGTGTTAATAAGTACTACTGGCTGGTAATATTGTGTGTTAATAAGTACTACTGGCTGGAAATATTGTGTGTTAATAAGTACTACTGGCTGGTAACATTGTGTGTTAATAAGTACTACTGGCTGGTAACATTGTGTGTTAATAAGTACTACTGGCTGGTAATATTGTGTGTTAATAAGTACTACTGTCTTGTAATAGTGTGTGTTAATAAGTACTACTGTCTGGTAATATTGGGTGTTAATAAGTACTACTGTCTGGTAATATTGGGTGTTAATAAGTACTACTGTCTGGTAATCTTGGGTGTTAATAAGTACTACTGTCTGGTAATATTGTGTGTTAATAAGTACTACTGTCTGGTAATCTTGTGTGTTAATAAGTACTACTGGCTGGTAATGTTGTGTGTTAATAAGTACTACTGTCTGGTAACATTGTGTGTTAATAAGTACTACTGGCTGGTAACATTGTGTGTTAATAAGTACTACTGGCTGGTAATATTGGGTGTTAATAAGTACTACTGTCTGGTAATCTTGGGTGTTAATAAGTACTACTGTCTGGTAATATTGTGTGTTAATAAGTACTACTGTCTGGTAATCTTGTGTGTTAATAAGTACTACTGGCTGGTAATGTTGTGTGTTAATAAGTACTACTGGCTGGTAACATTGTGTGTTAATAAGTACTACTGGCTGGTAACATTGTGTGTTAATAAGTACTACTGGCTGGTAATATTGTGTGTTAACAAGTACTAGTGGCTGGTAATATTGTGTGTTAACAAGTACTACTGGCTGGTAATATTGTGTGTTAATAAGTACTAGTGGCTGGTAACATTGTGTGTTAACAAGTACTACTGGCTGGTAATATTGTGTGTTAACAAGTACTACTGGCTGGTAATATTGTGTGTTAACAAGTACTACTGGCTGGTAACATTGTGTGTTAATAAGTACTACTGGCTGGTAACATTGTGTGTTAATAAGTACTACTGGCTGGTAATATTGTGTGTTAACAAGTACTACTGGCTGGTAATATTGTGTGTTAACAAGTACTACTGGCTGGTAATATTGTGTGTTAACAAGTACTACTGGCTGGTAATATTGTGTGTTAACAAGTACTACTGGCTGGTAATATTGTGTGTTAACAAGTACTACTGGCTGGTAATATTGTGTGTTAATAAGTACTACTGGCTGGTAATATTGTGTGTTAATAAGTACTACTGTCTGGTAACATTGTGTGTTAATAAGTACTACTGTCTGGTAACATTGTGTGTTAATAAGTACTACTGTCTGGTAACATTGTGTGTTAATAAGTACTACTGTCTGGTAACATTGTGTGTTAATAAGTACTACTGTCTGGTAATATTGTGTGTTAATAAGTACTACTGTCTGGTAATATTTAGTGTCACATCACAGACATATACAGGAAAGATTCTGAGTTGTTGCTGATTACAGGGCTACCTGTTGATTCCTGATCTCCCTTCTCTCTCTCTCTCTCTCTCTCTCTCTGAGCTTCAGTTAATTTTGTGTTATCATATTTAATTATTTACCATTTCCATAGATCCTTTCCATGTTTATATTACACACAGGTGACTGCTAAGGCCCTTAGGCCTCTTGTTGAAGACGTGATAACCAGCAAATTACAGAGTGTTTGGCGAGGATATTTGATTGGCGTGCAAATGATTTGATATTTTTCTTTTAATAAAGAACACAATATGACTAACGTTACACCCACTATCGTTATATTCAGATTTTGTTTTAAAAAGGAGATTGTTGAGAAAATGAGAGGAAAAAAACCTGATTTTTCTCCGGATATCATGTGTCGGTGGTATTTAATGTTAACAATCCGAATGTTACAGGCAGACGGAATGATTCTGTGAGAAATGTCTGTCACAGAGAGATTTCAATTATTATCACTTCGACCCCATTTGACCAATTGATATTGCAATGTTTTTATATTAGAGTCGTAACTTGTGAAGTAATTTCTGTAAAATGTGGAAGTGTTGACAGTTTTATTACGTGTGATTATTTCTTATTGCTTATAATTACACCGCTCTTACTAAGGAGTTCGATGTCTTTATTAATCTCTTCTTATACCAAAGGACAAACGAAAGAAAAATCAATGATTTAGGCACAGATCCAAGATTTCTTCATAGTATATACTGACCATTAAATTTGATTTGCCGTTACTATAGTAAAGTAGACGGGGAATTGTTATGAAAGTGTAGAAAAACACATCGCATTAAATCTGAGTGTCTAAAATGTTAACCATTTTTAGAATGTCTGTAAAATTGTTCTTTGTTTACAGCCTTCTTATGGAACAACTGTAAAACTGTCTTTGTTTACAGCCATCTTTAGGATGACTGTAAAATTGTCCTATGTTTACAGCTATCTTTAGGATAGCTGTAAAATTGTCCTAATATGTTTACAGCAATCATTAGGATAATTGTAAAATTGCACTATGTTTACAGCCATCTTTAGAAATACTGTAAATTTGCCCTATGTTTACAGCCAGGAAGAGGCTCAGAAGATTGATGAAGAACTATTTTCTGAATACGCTTTCTCTGTTGAACAACTTATGGAGCTTGCCGGATATAGCTGCGCTGTTGCCATAGCAAAGGTAGCAAATTATAAATTTGATAGAACAAAAAAAAAAAAAAAAAAAAAAGTTTGGTTAATTTTTTTTAATGAATGTGACTTATGTTGTTATTTTCGTAATCTGTTATTTTTGCTTTGCACTTCGCTCATTCGTACAGATCTTCATATTTTAACTGTTTACAGTACTTGCTGCTATTATTATGTTATTAGTACATGTCTAGGGTGCTTCCCACTGTTTTCCGATATTTTTAGCTCAGTCTCTTGAACTTTAAGCTGTAGTGAGATATTGCCCAGCATCTAACTGTCTATCAGCCCATCCGTCTGTAAACTTTTAAAAACACTTTTGACTTATATTTTGGAACTTCTGAGCAAATTTCAATCAAAGTCAACACAATACATCTTTTGGTAAATGAGATTTAAAATTATGCAAAAGAGAGGATATAATCAAGGAAAATTAAAAAAAAAAAGGTGTGGACATTTTAAATTTCTCTGCTAGATCTCTGTTAAGTCAGACAAGATATTATGATCCATGCACCCCTTAGAGATGGGTCACAATGGTGTTTATTTTTTTTTATATAAGAGAAAAAAATCTGTTACAAAAAAGAAAAGGTACTGTATTATATTTATCTGTAGGGAAGCGAAATTTAACTCAGGTGAGCAATATGGCCCATGTGCCTCACCTTTTGAGTATATTGCAGTGCTACCCTTTATGTATATATTGCACTGCTATCCTTTAATTTTTGTGTATATTGCAGTGCTACCCTTTAGAAAAAATGACCCGAGATAACGGAGCTGTTCTGGTGTGCTGTGGGCCGGGGAATAATGGCGGTGATGGACTCGTGTGTGCCAGGCACCTCAAACTTTTTGTAAGTAGACAGTGTGTGCTAGGCACCTCAAACTTTTTATACAATGTAAGTGGCCAGTGTATGCAAGGCACCTCAAACTTTTTGTCAGTATATAGACGTTCTGTGCAAGACACTACAAGGTTTTTGCATTACCTTTATTTGTAAGTACGTATGGTTTTGCTCCTCAGATTGTAAATGGGGATTATTTGTTCAGGCGCCTCCCACTGGAAGTAGAACATGCAAGTGCTCTACACCTCCAATATTTCTCTTTTTTTCAAATAAAACCAGTGTCAACATTGAGGTCAAAGGTCGGTTGTATCCTAGGTACTTTTCCGTGGTATAGACTGATAGACGTGCAATTTCTTTATAGAAAAGCCAATAACTTGCTCACGTTACAATTTGATTTTTCTTACACTTTATCTGATTGAAGAGAAAAAAAAAGAAATAAGATCGGAATCTGTTAAGCGGATAAGTGGCAGTTTCCATCGGAAACGTGTCAATTTATCGCCGGATCAAAGTAGACAGACCTAGTTAGGCCGTCACTACAGAATTTCTATCATTCGTAACTTCTCGGGCCTTTCCGACAAGCAGAAAAACAACCCCGAGGTTGTTTTTCCGACCTCTGACGGAAAGACCCGAGATGATGCCATTGATTTGATCTGAGTAGAACCGATAGCGGACTCTTCAAATTTGTCGCAGAATATTCGGATCTTGTTCACGTTTCTTCCAATTTCCTCTGAGATATTGACAATTCTACAGAACGGAATTCTATACAACAGAGATATCAGATTTTCTCTTAGCAGTCAAAGGAAATCAATCCAAGAAAAACTGTTATATTTCAGATGACAGAATCATATAACACAGTTTCTAAATATAACCGTTAAATCAAATTTTAATATTTAAAGATAAAAAGATCTTTTTGACATATTTTTCATTTTGTAACCAATAAGAATTTTCTGCCATTTTTGTATGAAAGACAGGGTACACACGGAGTATCCAAGGGGGGGGGGGGGGAGGCGGGGTCTCGGGGCTACCCTCCCCCCAATTTTTTTCCCAAGCATAAAATTTTACTGCTCGTTTGGCATAAAGAGTCGGAAATTAAAGCGCTAAAGATTAACAATATTACATTTATCACAATTGCATCGATATTTTAAACCTTTAGTAGTCGGTTTGCGTAATGTACTGTACGTGTACTTGTGTTATTTGCATATACCTGAGTTAAACGCATGTACTTGTGTTACATTCGTATACTTCTGTTACATGCGTGTACTTGTTTTGAATTCGTATTCTTTCGTTTCATGCGTGAACTTGCGTAACATGAGTGTACTTGCGTGATAAGATTGTACTTGTGTGATGTGCGTGCACTTGCGTAACATGCGTGTACTTGTGTGCATTTGTGTGGCATGCATGAACTTGCGTAACATGCGCGTACTTCGTGGCGTCAACCAGTGAAACAGTTACGCATGCGTATTCTGTAAATTTTGCTTAAGAGTAAGCGTTTGCGAAAGTTTGACTGAATTCATTCTTTGTTTTTAACATTTGTATATCAACAACGCCCAAAAGTCAAGTATCTTAACGCGTCCACAGTATGTGTTTGACAGCAGTCAAACAATGAGGCGTTAGGGCTGGGCAATAATACCGATATTCCGGTATATTGCGGTATGTTGACAAAAATGTCGTATTGCAATACGTTTTTGAAATACCAATATACTGGCAAAATGCTTGGACTTAGGAATTCTATCATAAACAGATTAAAAAATTGCCAGAAAGGTTTGCGATCACGCCAAATAGGAAGACAAAAGCCGTTGTCTGGGTGTATTTAGTTGTAAAAGTGTAATTCAATCAACAAGATATCTTTTATTGGTTATTTATCATAGTTACATGTATGTACATTCTACGTATAAAAAGGAAACTAATATATTGAGAAAATTTCATTTAAATTTTTGTTGAAAATATTGCAATACATATATCGCAGTACAGTTAAAAATATCGCAATATATCGCAATACGAAATCTCTAGCCGATACCAAGCCCTATGAGGCGTACATACTTAATAAGTAAACTGTGTATAAATATAAGACCAAATGTTTTATTGGAAAAATTAGGGTGATTTTTTTTTTTTATAATTTTCGTGAATTTTATCATTGCACGCAGAGATTCTTATTATTTTAAATCAGCAACACTTGAAATTTCCCATAAATGATGACACGTCTACACTGTGTTTTGTATTGATAGGGCTACAGACCGACCGTATTTTACCCTAAGAAGCCAAACAAGCCCCTGTTTGACGCCCTCAGTAAGCAGTGTGAGGGGATGGACCTCCCGTTCCTGTCCTATTTCCCCTCCGAGGCGCACCTCATACAGGACTCCTACAATCTCGTGGTGGACGCTTTGTTTGGCTTCAGTTTCAAGCCCCCGGTGAGAGAGACTTTTGCCAACGTTATAGAGGCGCTTAAAAAAGTGGACATCCCCATCTGCAGCGTGGATATCCCCTCAGGTAATTTATTTAAGGATGGTTAAAGAAATAGTTCTAATTTGTTTTGAAAACAAAGTTATTTTGGTATTCTGCTTTGTGTGCATTAATGTTAACCTACACCTTTCAATTCTTCTTGCATTTCAAATTAGGAAGTATTTTGGGTACATTTATAAAAAGTCAAAGTCGCTATTTAAAATCGGACTTAAGCCACTGAACTAAGCTTTAATTTAATATGTTACTTTTGGGAAATTGCTCTTCTGTTAAAGGCGTTCTTTTTCTTGTTTGCACCAGATGAGGAAAATTTAAAAAACAAATGTATGAATTTACAAGAAGCTTATAGCGAGCGCAGCGAGCGGCGCGAAGCGCCGCTCGTCACTGCGAGCTCTAACGACAACGCCAGGGCGAAGAGAAAATTCGGACTACTGCATATATTCATTCAATAGAATTTTTTTCCGCAGTAACTTTGGACCCACAATGCATCGCTTATTTAAGCTACGTTCTCGCGATAATGACAACAAAATTTCAACAAAAAATAAACTCGTCTCGATTTAATGGATATATTGCAGCTAAATAACATATAAAACGTTCTTCATTAAAATCTGCCAGCGTTCAGGCTTCGGTTTGGTAATGCAACTTACATACGCCGTCATGTGACGTTAGAGTCTAGACGTATCAGGCCCGCAGGAAGCAATTTCAGTTTGGGGGGGGCACAACCATACACTTTCAGTTGAGGCGGCACTATCAACTACCAAAAATTTCTTGACAAGCAAAAAAAAAAAAAAAAAAGAAAAGAAAAGGTCATCAGACGTTTTTATTGAGGGGGCACAAGCATATAGTATATATGTTTACTATAGTCCTCTATATATCGGCAAAATTATTGGGGGGGGGGCATTCCCCCGTGCCCCCCCCCACCCCGGTTCCTACGGCCATGCGTATCAAATGTCACTTGCGCTTTGAAGAGATGGGGCTAAATACAGTTTATAAAAGTATCTGCGCTCGCCCTAACGGTCGCACCGTCAACATATTAGAAATTTACATATTTATATTTTAGGTTGGAACGTAGAGAAAGGTGACCCCGAGGGCCTACAGCCTGACCTTCTGATCTCCCTCACAGCCCCCAAGAAATGCGCCAAACTCTTCAAGGGCAGACACCACTATCTCGGCGGACGGTTCGTCCCGAGGACTCTCGAACTGAAGTACGATCTTCAACTTCCGCCTTACCCCGGAACTGATTGTGTGGTGGAGCTAAAAACCCAGAAATCGGAGGAGGAGAAAACAAACAGCGCGGGGGAGTAATAGTACAGTGACGTCAAAAGACTCAGGGGAGGGGTCATTGTTTTTTATCAGAATTTCGAAAGAAAAAAAATCAAAGTTTAAAAGTGATCACTGCTTTAGTTCAAAGTTTGAGCACGCTTGAAGAGAAAATATGCTTAATGAATGCTTGAAATGAAATATTTAGTGAATGATTGAGCTTGAGAAATTCCTCTGACGACGCAGTGTACTTGTTAATTATGACAGTCTATTGGAGTGATTAATTAGTTTAACATGTTTACTGCTGCTTCGTTTGTATACACACTTCTTGTTGAATATAAGATTAAACCTTACGCAAAACGTTGCTCATGTGTAATTTTTTTATAGAATGGAGATTTGGAGGAAGGTCAAACTATTCCACTGTGTTTTAATGGATGTTAAGCAAATTAAGGAGTGTAACTCTGTAATGGTTTGTATCGTCATACGGAGTGCGGAGTTATCTTAAAGTTTCTTTGATGTCACCACAAATGTAAACAGAGGATTAGATAGCTTCTGAGTTATATTAAATCGTAGCATGGATGCCAGTATGTTATGTCAATGTGATTCGATTTCTAAATATTATTTATTTTATTTTTCTTTATAAGTAAAATTGGTTTGATTTTGGTGTTTAGATTGAAGGTTTAATCTATTTAACAAATGCGAATTGAAATATATCGCCCAATTTAAATGTATTACTTTTGAACAGGCTATTTAACAGTTGTTTAATATACCAGTGTGTTTACATTTTATTTGGCAAATAAATGAGGACCTTGTATAATTTGTTTATTTCTTTTAACTGCGGCCGGGGGAGGGGGGATTACTAAGAAGACATAAAAAATCAAGCAAAAATATAATTATTTATTACGAACGGTTTACAGATCAGGGGACTGTTTTACAAAAGAACTTACGACTAAGACCAAAAAATTAATTCTGCTAATAACTATTTAATTTACATTAAATAGAAAACGGTGTTAATATCTTTAAAAGATGTGTAGAAAGATACTTTTACGCTAGCAATTTTAAACAGAATAATTAATTTTTCAAAATTTTTACAATCAACTGAAGTTTTTGATCTTAGTCGTAAGTTCTTTTGTAAAACGGGCCCCAGTTTAATAAGTGAACTTACTTTAAGATCTAGTGTTTGAATTGTCTGATTTATATATACCTAAGTTTAGGAGGAAAATATTTTTTTTTTTTCATAAAGATATCTTTCTTGGACTATTCCAAGAACAACGCATATTAGTTATGAAACAAGAAATTTAAAATGACTCATGAAATATTCATAGTTTTCATTACTTTATGTAAGAGAGAGGAAATAAAAAACACACCGTTTCAAAACCAAGATCAAGTATTTTGAAGCTTGCACACTTTAACTCTTTGTCACCCAACTTTAAACATCCTTTTGATGTGAGCAAATTTAATGTCTGTTTTTATTTTTAAGACTGACATTAAATGCACTTATGAGAAATGTCCTTTCTTGAAATAACCACTGGTATTTGTAATTAACATTTTAGTACAAGGCCTTTAATTTATAAGAATTATATTTTGAAGGTAACACTGCAGTTGAAAATTTTGTATTTTCTTCTACCCAGTAAATTCAAAGTTTAGATCATGACGCATGAACAAATTTTAAATCTCAAAATCATTTCGTAGGAATTTTTCTTTGAATACTGCTTTATTTTCAGAAAAAATTCCACTAATAGCATATTTTTCCCTTTAAAGAAAAAATCCTCAGAGAAAAAATATGCAAATTTCTTGACAGTATTAAAAAAATGGAAATTCCTAAAGTGAATTTTTAAGTCATTTTTACTTAATTTTATGAAGACTGTCCTATAATTAAAGATGTAACCTCAACAGAATATTATGTTAGAATTCACCAATGAAATAGAAATTAAACTTAAACGCAAAATGAAATTTGAAATTCAAATATTAACTACTAGTTCTAGAGGACAGCGATGTAGCGTGATTAACGCTGTCGCTAATTAAGAGGAATATACCTGTTTGACAAGGGGACTAATCGCTATATGTTTTACACACAGATCTGTCGGGGTGAGCATAAGTATGGTGATTCTGGTCTCTTCTCTAAGTGCATATTTACTTCAATGTATTCACGTAATCTTGTTTTAATGGAGGAAAAAAAAACACCCTGTCAAACTGCTTAATTGAAACCACTATTAGGTTTCTTAAAATAAAAAGAAATTCGAGTGTCATAATTAGTTGGTGTTCCATAAAGATTTAAACTAGCCGTAAAAGTGCTTCACACCCCCTATCCCCCCCCCCCCCCCCCCGCCCCCAGTAACCCGATAATGCATGAAAAGGAACACTTATAGAAAGTAAATCACAGGGAACTACGGAACAATTTGTGGATTCTGGAGAAAAAAAACTTTTTAATTTCATATTTTGTATTGATGTCCACAGTGTTTAATATGTGAAAATTTAAGTGACGTAGATGTAAACAACCAACAAAGATAGAACATTTTTTTAGAAGAACATTTATTTAATAAAATGGATGTTTTCTCAAATGCTGACTAAAGGTCGGCAAAAACAATGAAAAAAAGACAATCAAGGCAAATCATTGGGAAAACTTGTAGACAACTTTACGTTAAAGATTAAAAGTTTATGAGGTAATTTCAAAAAATGAACAGAAAAAAATTGTATTGACCCACAGAACTATTTGAATGGTTTATGTTTTTGTCATATTTCTAGAAATTTTATTTACAATATACTTTGCGCTAAATTTCTGGGAGGGGGGAGGTGCTGTCTTTATAGAGTCTGTGTAAGAAAAAAGATATACAAAAAGTAAGACAGTCAAAGAGTTTTCGCTTTAATAATTTTGTTTTGTTTGTTTTGTTTTTGTAGCTCACCTGAGCCGAAGGCTCAAGTGAGCTTTTCTGATCACATTTTGTCCGTCGTCCGTCTGTCCGTCTGTAAACTTTTCACATTTTCGACTTCTTCTCAAGAACCACTGGGCCAAATTCAACCAAACTTGCCACAAAGTATCCTTGGGTGAAGGGGATTCAAGTTTGTTCAAATGAAGGGCCACGCCCTCTTTCAAGGGGAGATAATTAGGAATTAAAGAAAAAATAATGGCATCATTTAAAAATCTTCTCAAGAACCACTGGGCCAGAAAAGATGAAACTTATGTGGAAAGATCCTCAGGTAGTGTAGATTCAAGTTTGTTCAAATCATGACCCCCAGGGGTAGAGTGGGGCCACAATGGGGGATCAAAGTTTTATATGGAAATATATAGGAAAATGTCTTTAAAAATTTTCTTCTTAAGAACAGCAAAGCCATGATTGGTCATATTTATATGACCCCTGGGGATAGGGTGGGGCCACAATGGGGGATCAAAGTTTTACATAGAAATATATAGGAAAATATCTTTAAAAATCTTCTTCTTAAGCACAGCAAATCAATGATTGGTCATATTTATACGAAAGCATCCTCAGGTAGTGTTGATTCAAATTTATTCAAATCATGACCCCGGGGGTAGGATGGGGCCACAATGGGGGATCAGAGTTTTACAATGAAATACATACAATGGGGGATCAAAGTTTTACATAGAAATATATAGGAAAATATCTTTAAAAATCTTCTTCTTAAGCACAGCAAAGCCATGATTGGTCATATTTATATGGAAGCATCCTCAGGTAGTGTAGATTCAAGTTTGTTCAAATCATGACCCCTGGGGGTAGGATGGGGCCACAATGGGGGATCAAAGTTTTACATAGAAATGTCTATAGGAAAATATCTTTAAAAATCTTCTTCTCAAGATCAGCAAAGCCATGATAGGTCATATTTATATGGAAGTATCTTCAGGTAGTGTAGATTCAAGTTTGTTCAAATCATGACCCCCGGGGGTAGGTTGGGGCCACAATGGGTGATCAAAGTTGACAGAGAGATATATAGGAAAAAATCTTTTTTTCAAGAACAGAAAAGCCATGATTAGTAAAATTTATATGGAGGCAACCTTGGGTAGTGTAGAATGAAATTTGTTCAAATGAAGGACCCCGGGGGTAGGGTGGGGCCACAATGGGGGATCAAATTTTTACAAATGAATATATGGGAAAAAATCTTCTGCTCAAGAACAGCAGTGCCATTTGTTATATTTTTATGAAAGCATCATCAGGTAGTTTAAAATTCACCCCCCCTCCCCCCGTTAACTTTTCAAACACTAAACTGATTTTTGCTTTTTTTTTCCCTAGCCAATGTGCTCAGGTGAGCGATGTGGCCCATGGGCCTCTTTTTTTTTTTTTTTCTTTTTTGGTTAATTTGCTTTATTATTTTTTCTGAGTGGTGGGGATGCTGGTTGGTGTGTGAGGGTGTCGCTGATTTGGGGGGGGGGGGTTCCTATTCACAGGTATGCTATAAATGTATGTTACAGGTGTAAAGTTGGTTGCAGTTAGAAATTCGAGACGGCGCATAGAAAAACGAATTTCTAATCAGTCACTGTCTTATTAAAACTCTCGTTAATTGTGGAGACCAGATTCCCTGCTTGTTTGGTTTACGTTAATTAGTGTACTGCAGAAATCTGTCAAAGACAAGGGGAAGAAACATGGCATTTACACGTGTTTATATAAAAATAATGTAAAATGCATTATACATGAGATAATTTTAGTAACAATTGGACAGCTGTGAATACATTGTATATAGAAGCTTAACAACGCCCTGAATTACTGTGATCTATGTCCATCAGTACAGACACTCGCTATATACATAGCATTATATCCGACACTTCTATTGTTTTAAGGAAATAATATGCGCTTTCGTTTCATGCCAAGGATTTATGACAAATAGGCATTACAGGGGCGGATCTTGGACTTTTAGACAGATTTTGATAGTGGTTCCATATTGTAATTTTATTAAAATGATTTAAAATGCAGCGTTTTCAAAAAACGTTTAAGGTGCAAAATGGCCGACTTCTTATATGTTATCTGTCATGTGAATTTGGTTCATTTAACTTCCATCGTTATCTAGCAATACATATTTAACTTGTTTAAAATGATTCAAATTGCTTAATATCCGTTCATTATACATTGAATACCTTTAAGCCCTTCACCGGTATATGGTGACGTCTCTATATGAGTGAAAAAATTCTCGAATGGGACGTAAAACAACATACAATCAGTCAGTCGATTTTGTACCTTATTTATAACATCAGCTTATGTTTACAAAATAGATAAAGAAAAAAAATCCCAATAAGATTTTCAAAGATTGAGGCACGCATGCTCTGAAGTATCATGATTTCAAAACTACGCTCGCTCCGACGGTCACACCGTCAGAGTATATGACTTGTATTATGACAAATCCTCTCCTACTTACGCGGGGATCAATAGATTTTGTAGAATTGTTTTATTAGCCACCGCAGAGTTAGCCACCGCAGAGGTGGAAGAAAAGAAACCCAAAACCAAAAAATTCACAATAAAACAGACTGACTCGTGAGTTTAATTTGTTTCTTGTGAAATAAAAACGAAAAAGAAGCTTCCAATCCACCCTGAATAATAAGTCTTAAGAATGTTTTATGCAAACAGAACAACACAATTTATGAGATGGGTGGATATAATTGAACAAAATATCACAGAGGTAGCTATTGCACTGTTCCCATAGCAACAAAAACAACAAATTTCTTGAGCCAATCAAAAGATTATGATTTACATTATTTAATTTTCTAGCTTCATAGTTCCTCGTAAAGACGTACAGAGACAGAGAGAAAACCCTCACTTCTGGAGGTTCTAATGACAGCAGTAAATAACTACTTCCTGTCATTTCTTTGTACAACCTCTATAACTCTATAACTAATGATTGCAATATAATGTATAAAACATACAATTCTGAAAGTAAAAAAGTATTACTTTCAAAATAAGTGCCTGGTAGCTTAATTTATATCTTTAGGTGCCATTTTCAATAAAAATATTAATCTTTCAAATCGGGATTAGGCAACAGAGTTTTTGAGAAAAAACACATGCATCGGGTTCTTCTTTCCAAAAGCCAAACAATATAGTAGAATAAAAAAGCATTTTTCCTCTCAATGAAATTCATGATTTGAAAATTCTAAATCAAAACATTCCTTATTGTTCCAGCATAAAACAATTCCCACACGGCATCTTGAACTTTAACGTTTATGACGTCATCAGGTAGCCTTTGTTTTTCTGGATCTTGCGCTGAATACTGGTGTTCCTTTAAATGAGGGGTTCCGAATTTCCTTCACCGGAACCATGTACTGAGGCTTATATCCGGTGAACAAATTAAATCCCTCACGATTGTAAACCTTGCTGTCCACGTTTGAAGATGGCGCTACAGGTGCGGATCCTATTAATGTTGAGCTGATGCCAAGTCGTGGGGCTGATGGAGACGGTTTTGGCTCGGAATCAGAAATAGATTCATTTGTACCCCTGGCAAGAACCATTCCGGCTGGAATGTATTTTTCCGGATTTATCGGTTTTTCTTTCTTTTCTGGTTTTGGGTTTTTCAACAGTGAATTTGAAATGACTTTATCTGTCGTGTTTCTCTCAATGTAAGAGATGGGCGTTTCCTTTAAGGTGCTCTGTACAATAGGTGGCGTTGTTGATTTTATTTCCGGTATATGTCCTGGAACTCCAGAACTGAGTTTCATCGGATGTGGAGGAGCTTTTAATGAATTGTCCGAGAACCCAGCAATGTCGATGTACACTTGACCTAGCGAGTTTACAGGTGGACGATAAGTTGGGATCGGTCGCTCAGTTGCTCTCAGTCTGAACTCCGAGCTGAATTCATATGGCTTAGGAGGTTCCATTATGGCTCGGCTGTGTCCTATATCGTGATAGATCTTACTGATGCTCAACATTGATTTGCTTGAACTTTGACCTAACGAACTTTGTCCTAACCACTCACGTCTAACTGGCTGAGACTCAAAGGCGCTTGCTTTAGGGTGGCCGTAATCGATTATACCGAGGTTCGCCGCGTTGTATTGAAGTGGAGCAGTTCCGCTGTACATGTTACTTCCGGGGTCTTTTCCACCTCCTGTGAGACTAAAGGAACTTCCTGATTTTGGCATAGGGCGAATCATTCCGGTCTCAAACTGATTTGAGGGGTTTAATTCCTGGGGAGCCGATCGACCAGCCATTGGATCATAAACATTCTTCCCATACCCGTTGTGTTTGTAATCGATTGAATTTACGGGATTCACGTTCCTGTCTGGTCCTTGTTGCTCGCTCTTCTTGACAGGATCTGTCTGACTTGCCGTTTTCTTGTTGGGACTAGGTGGATTTATCTCCCCTTTCTGGTTAACATCCGGGTCCCTGACTGGTGCGGAGGTTACTGTCAGTCGTAGATTACTATTCCTATTTACAGCTGGTGTTAGTCTAGGACTTTGTTGTTGTGGACCTGCAAAGGTAGATTCCGGAAGTCCAGTGCTCATTGTTTCCTTTGTCGTGGTATATTTCACTTTTGGTCCCTCTCTCCCCACCTCTTCTGGCGGACTACGTTGAAAATTTTGCATTTTAGGTTTTTGTACTGTCCTGATTTTTGACGTCTGTAGACTTTGAGATGCAAAGCCTTCTGTTTCCAATGGTGTTATCTTCAGAGCCCCGTTGTGATTCTGACTTTCTCGGATTTTAAACGTGTTTAAATTTGCTTTTCTTACAACATTTGAACCATCCACAGAAGGCCTAATTTGCTTAACCCTTTGTATCACGCCTGCTGTGGTTTTTTGCTGTTCATTGATCACCTCCGGTACACGACGATTTGGAAGATCAAGAGGTGTTCTCTGCGGGATTTTAACTTCAGGATATTGTTTACCCTTTTCTTGTGGCCTGGTTTGCTTTCCTGGATTTTTTGGTTTAAGATTGTAATTTCCGGGTCTTTCAATTCTGACTTCCGGTGATTGCACATTTGGTCTAGTTTGTTTAAATGTTCCTTGACCGCCTTGAACTTTTGGATCCATGTTCCAAGGTTCAGAACCGGTGCCACCAAGTCCTTGAACTGCTGGTTTTACTTGAGAGGTTCTCGGTTGAGTTTCTGGCTTCCGAACATCAAACGGCCGAGAGTTTTGAACTTCCGGACCACTGGTTTGAACTCGACGAGGTATAGCCCCTGACTGATTATCTATTACACTATTTCTTTTTCTAATTTTTTCCATGTTAAAAGGAAGAATTTTATAGCTACCAAAGACGCTTGGCTTGAACTTGACGGCGCTTCCTGGAAGCAAGTTAGCTTTATCTGAAGGAATTCCGTGCATTATGTTCTCTACTCCCGAACTCTTAGTTTCAGATTTTACGTAAGGGGGCTCAGTTGTGTAACTGTAAGCATCATTATTTTGAGATGGTTCATGTACCAGTTCATTATAAATAGTATTCTCATGACCCACATCATAATGGCCGCCACTGTGATCGTACGGGAGAATTTGTACGGCGCTGTGTGACTGTCCGACACTATAGGGGCGGATCTCAATAAGATTCAAGGAGTGGGGATCAATGTGGCTTATTGGATCTCCGCGTACTTGGTGTTCTTGTTTTAATGGTGTTTGGATCGCTTCAGGAACAGTATGAATGGACTGCGATCCCTCGAAAACAGGTATCATACATACTCTTCCACATCCGTTAAAACAGCACTTCCTTCCGACCAGGCACTCACTATCTGCATGACATTCGTCTTGACAGACTCCTCGGCTCCGGAGCTGTGGACAAAGACCATCGCGAACGTCGTATAATGGAGTTGTCTGATATAGAGGAACGTTGTATAAATTGTTAGATCCCCCACCATTAGTATTAGATCCGCCATCTGGGTTGTTTAGACGGTATTGTCTACTGGGAGGGTTATCATATCGAGTGTTAGTTCCCCCTTTTCGCTGTTGCTGAAGTGTACTTTGAACTTCGTATGTATTTTGTGACTGTGACGGGCTATTATATGGAATATTTGGTTGAATTTCTGGGTTGTTTAACTGATGATTAAGTCCACCTGTATCAGGAGTATACTGGTTGTGGACACGTGGATGTCCTTGTTGTGAATTAAATCTTCCGTTTTGTTGGTTGTAATGGTTAGATCCACTTGCTGGTTGATAATTAGATCCGCGATTCTGTTGACTATTTTGAATAAGTTCTGAAGCCTGTTGTATCGGCTGATCATATGTTGCACCATTAAATCCGCTTCTTGGGTCACTTTGTTGATTACTAGTTCCTGCAACAGATGCATCATAGCCGGGGTAACCGCCAGAAGAATTATGAGGCGCGTTGTAAGCTCCTCCCATAGGAAAAGAATGCTGGTTGTTTGAAGGATTTGATGCGCCTACAGGACTAGAATGCTGACCTGGACCTGGATGAGTATTTGATCCACCTGTAGGATCAGAATACTGGTTATTTGGAGGACCTGACTGGGTATTTGATCCGCCCACAGGGTGCGAATAATGGTTATTTGGAGGATTCGGCTGAACATGTGATCCCCCTAATGGGTTAACATTCTGGTTATTTTGAAGACCTGATTGAATATTTGATCCGCCTACAGGATTAGAGAACTCATTATTTGGTGGACCTGACTGAACATTAGATCCACCTAAGGGGTCCGTGTACTGGTTACTAGGAGGACCTGATTGAACATAAGATCCGCCGACAGGATTAGAATACTGATTAGATCTTCCATACAAGGGCTGCCCCTGTGATGGATTATCGTAAGAGTCATATTGAGGAATCGGTGAGTAGCTTTGTTGATTGTTGTTTACGTTTGCAGGATTATATCCGCCCATCGGAATATTTGATCCGCCCAGGGGATAATTACCGTGATACCCTTGTTGAACATGTGGATCTCCGATTGGATTGTTGTTTTGAGGTTGTCCAGAATACATATTCGTATTATGATTTTGGCCTCCCATAACTCTAGGTGATATGGTGCTCGATCCACCCGCTGGAATATTATGCTGAAATCCTTGTTGGTTGTGAAATCCGCCATTGGTATTGCTATCATATGGCTGTCCATTAGAACCGGGTGAATAATTGTTAAAATGTCTTGAGGGATTTGCAAATTCCGGAGGTGGCTGATTTCTAGGCCCACCTCTGAAATTCCTTTGTAGAATTTCCCTGTTAACGGGGTTGGAAGGTGGATTATTTGTACCACCCATAGAGTAATAATTCTGATTTGGTGCACTGTTAGATCCACCTCTTGGACTGTTTTGATTAGATTCGCCCGTTGATCCTCGGAGAAAGCTAAAAGGAATGGGTCTATTGTTTAAGTCTGCTCTGCTCATATTGCGACTGTTAGAACTGGGTCCCCCAACTGGATTAATATTCTGGTTAGGTGGTTGATTCTGTTGGTTATGGAGTCCACCGCTAGGTGGCGCTTCAGTGCTCTGTGAATTGTTAATGTTAGCATGAGATCCGTTTATTTGAGAAGAAAGGGCTTCTGGAACCATTTCTGGTTTATTTGTGATCTGTTCAGTGGGTGCTGAACTCACAAGATTGATCGCCGGGATTTCCGGCGCAGTGCATTTTTTACCGCAGCCATTAAGGCAACATTTCTTCATTCCTGCACAGTCATTATCATCACCACAAGCATCCGGGCATTTCTTTGACGTCATCAAAACAACAGATGGACAAAGCCCCGGTTTGGCAGCATTTCTTTTTGCCGAGTACTTTACACTGTTTTGTGCCGGAAGTGCTGAATTCTGAATGATTTGCCCGGAAGGAGCGGAAGGATTTCTGGCGCCATATCTTGACGGTGATACGTACATGTTTGAAGGAGTCCCTGCTCCATGAAAACCCTGGCCGTAAACCGGAAGTACAAACCAAGAAATCACTAAAAAAGGAGAGAAAGTCTGTTAAGAAGGCTTTTGTATCTTTTTGAATTATTTGTATTAATCTAAGAAGGAAAACACATGAAGTTATGTGACGAGGCCCTAGTAGCATAAATCATAATACTCTGATATTCCTAGCTAAAATCCAGCCGGAATACTAGGGAAATTTTTTGTTATATACATTTAGTATAAATGTAAACGCAAAAGTTTTGTCGATAGAGACATAAAACTTGTTTAATTTTGTTTTGTTTTGTTTTGTTTTCTTGGGAGGGGGGTCTGTTTTGTTTTTTGGGAGGGGGGTCTGTTTTGTTTTTTTTTTTTTGTTTTTTTTTTTGGGTAGGGTCTGTTTTTGAGTCGCGTTTATCTCAGGAGAAAAGGAATATTAAATAATTCTATCCTTAAAAATAAACCTGTATATATATATATATTTATATATATATATTTATGTATGTTTCAGCATGAGATATAAATTATATATAAAGCGATGTTTTAATTATGTAAATGAGGAGCTAAATGATGGCACTGTCACAGATTTTCCCTTCGCTGAATTAACGTACAGCCATTAGAGAGAGAGGGTGACGCTGTAACGTTATAATTAACATGACGGATTCTAATTCACTGGTTTTCTTCTCCGTGGTTCCCTGTTACATAGTTTATATTAATAAATACGATTTAAATTTCCGCTGTAAACAAACCTCAGACTTGCCTTATTGTTTTGATTTATTTTTTTTTTTTAATTTTTTTTTCTTTCCTAACGTTTTGGTAAAATATCTTGATATACATTCAGAAATTGAGGGGAAAAAAATCAACCCTTTATATATATTTAGCCCGTACCGAATTTCATGTATTGGACAAGCCCTTATTATTTTAGCCTACTCAAAAGTTAATGCCGACATGTTAATGTTAATGTTTAAAATAAAAGAAATTACAGCTATTAAGACATGAACTCTTTTTTTAAAAAAAAATGAATTATTTATGATTATATTTCCTTTATTTTACACATAAAGCCATAAAATGCTGCTTAAAACAAATTTAAATGCATTTTTCACAAAACACATTTTCAACTTAAGATTAAATTTATAAATGTAAAGGGTCGAGCACATAGAAATAAATGTAACCAAATGGTTAGTAATTCTGTGATCTTGTTTTAAACTTCATAATTATTTCTTAATCTTGTGTGAGATATTTTCTCTTGACTTTCTTCTATTCTTTATATCACTGCGAGATCAGAACAAGTCTCTGTATTCCATCACTATTTAGACCAAGCCACACTTTGTAACATCTGTCACCTTAAGATGGATTTCCGAGTTTTAATTTGCTTAACAACTTGTAGTAACGTGCTCTTACTAATTAGATTTTAATTTTTAAAAGTGAAAAGTTGAGGTTACGTCTGATGTTGTGACACGACACGACCAGCGTTACTGTTAATATTCGTTATGTACGTGAGGCTTTCTTATCTAATGAAAACAAACAATTTACTTTACAAAATAATTTATCAAAAATTCAAAAGACGCTTTAATTCAGTATTAGTGAGAAAACATTGTTTTTTTTCACTCCACATCTGTCATAAAGATTCATTTTTATGAAATTAAGAAAAGATTGAAATCATAATACTCGGTTTTAATTTTCTCCGGTAGATATGTTACTTCAAGACTTTGTGAGGTTTTCGAGGACAGTAAACTAACTTCGAGTCAATGATAATTTTATTACTTAAGAATTCGTTTTTTATATGCGCTGTATTGTTTTCAATGTTACATCATGTGCTGTTAAAATTAGAAATTTGTTAACTGCTGCAAAACATGAATTAAAAATATCAAGTTTAAGACAGTCCACTGTTGACCTTGTAGAAACACGACCTTGAGAATTAATTCATTAATTCTAAATGATTAAATCACTGATTCTTAATGAATGGAGAATTAAGGCTTATTTTAAAAAATTGTAAGCGATTAAAATGATTAAAAATAAAACACATGACCAAGTCCTATTTGTTTTTTAACTTGACTTAGTAAAATAAATTTAATACAGAACAAATTATCATAGATTAAAAAGAAACTAAATTTTAAGAATCTTGTATGATTGTGAACAATTCCAAGAAACAATTTTTATTATAGAAAGCTAAATAGCTTTTAGCGGAGAGAGAGAGAGAGAGAGATTACTTACCAGATAAAACAAAGAATCTCCAATATATAAGCTGATTGTCTGATACATCCATTTTTCTATGGAGGAAAAAAAATAAAATAAAATAAAGTATGCATAAATATTTACCATAGCATCTAGGAAAATCTTTTAAGGAATTTGTAGCATCCTTTTAAAATTGAAATCATGCATTGAAAATAAAACAATTGCAAGTAAAATTTTAGGGCAAAGATCAAGTGAGCATAATTCTAAATATAGACAAAGATAAATAACGAGATAGATAAATAGAGATAAATATATAAATACCTTCACTCCGGTCTAGTGAGAGGTGAATGCATATTCCGCACTAACGCGGGGTTTTCTATTTATATATTCTTCACGCTTCGTTGGCTTTTAATATTTTTTGATAATATGCTACATAGCTCAGGTGAAATTAAAGTCAGGAGGAAAATAAACCGCACTATGTACATGTATTTCAATTTTTTTTCTTTCAATTTGATTTATTCGATGATAATTTAAAACAGCTAACTGATTTCTTTAGAGTGAGAGTGTTTAGCTAACCTTAATCAAACGCTCAAGAGAGTTTTTCTGATCACAACTTGTCCAATGTCTGTCGTTGTAAATGTAAGCTTCACTTTATAGTGTTGATTTAAGTTTGTTCAAATCATGCCCCCCCCCCCCCCAGGAGTAGGATCTTCTTCTCAAGAGCAGTAAATCCATGATGAGGAAGATATGGAAGCAGCCTCAGACGGTGTAGATTCAAGTTTGTTGAAGTCATGACCCCTAGGGGTGGGGCTGGGCCACAATAGGAGATAATGAATACTTCATAGTAAAACATGTATATGGGAAAATATCTTAAAAACCTTCCCCAAAAGAACACAGAACCCGTGATTAGTCATATTAATATGCATGTATACCAGATAGTGCTGATTCAATATTGTACAAATCATGATTCAGGGGTTGAATGGGGCCACAATAGGCGATCAAATTTTAACATAGAAAAATATAAGAAAAAATCTTCTTCTTAAGAACAAAAAAGCTATTATTAGTCACATGGAGACATATTCTGGTTATATAGATTCAAATTTGTTAAGAGCATAGCCCCGGGGGGTAGGTCGGGCCCATAATAGAGATCAGTTTTACATAGGAATATGTAAGAATTTTTTTTGAAATATTTCCTATTATGAAAAGCAAAGTTATGGCTAGCCGTATTGTCATGGAGAAAAACTTACAGTTTTTCAATATACTTATTTATCTCTGAAATATGTAATTATTACAGTTAATTTTTCATTATTTGAAATATATTTTATAATAAATTTAATTATTACAGAATTTAATGTTTTATTGATTTTTATGCTTAAAAAAAAATGTTTTCGGAAATTTTTATATATTTTATTTTAGCTTTTGTCTGATTACTCTGAAGTGTCATCTTATTTATTGCACATGTCAACTTTATTTTATCGGGTATGCCAAACTTCAGGTTTCTCTGTTCCTCTGATAAAAAGTTTTTCTAACGTGGGCTTCACAAGATTTTTTGGGGTAATTTTGTTGTAAATGTTTTTATAGCATCCATTTGATATAGTCCATGAGTGATAAGTTCTTTGTTAAGAACTTGAACTTGAACTTTATTCTCATAACTGACAAAAGAGTGAAGAGAAGATATGTACAGTATAATAAACAGAAAATATTACATGCCTGAAGAAGGGGTAACAGAGTATGTCAACCAAGAGAGCCAACTCTCTCAATTATAATATCTAACAATTTACAAATTTTGCTAAGTTGATTAGTATTGGTTACATTAAAAAGCATTTCAAATTTCAAAACATTTGGATTCAAATGAAAATACTTTGACAAATACATAACTCTTGAGTTCTTTATAGACACATCAGTACATTTAAATAAATAATGAAATTCATCCCCAATTTCGTTGCTGTTACATAATTTACAAATTCTATTTTCTCTAGGGATGTTAAACCATCTACCAGTCTCAATTGGTAATTTTGTATTCCCAGTTCTAAATAAACAATATTTCTTGGATTGTTTAGGAGGCAAATTCAACAAATAGTCTTCAAAGATTAATGATTTTTTAAAAATTCTATAGTTCAAACCTTTAGGGGAAGTTTGTACATCACTAAACCATGTTTGCTTAAACTGATCTGAGAGAGTGGTATATACCTTATTTTTTAGCCAAGATATATTAATTGAATTTTCATACCACACATAAGTCAATCCTTTTTCATACAAGTCAGCTTTAAAAATTTCCCCTCCAAATTTTTTATACAGCCTTTTTGCTTTCCTAAAGTTTTGTCGAGCATTTTTACAATCTTTTGTGAACCAAGGTTTCTTATATTTAAAATTTGTTTTCTTACATGTATTTGTATAAAATGTTTTCTTGCCAAAGGTCTCTTTAGCACTTGATACCAATATGTCACTTATTCTTTCGACAACGTTATCTATAAAATCTGATGTGACTTTTCCTGCTATAGTGTTCCTGATTTCATGTTCTAATAGTGTGATAGCATTTATTTTGTCTTTTATAAAGTAATGAAATGTTTCTTGCTTCTCAGGAATCCAATTTTTAGCAATCTCTTGTGTTTGTTTTTGTGGGTTATTTAATTTAGAAGCGTGTTCTTTTTCAAAGGCTAGTAAAACCTCCACAGGATTATGAACATCAGATAATAGGGTAGAGAATGTTAATATTCTAAAATCAGAAACATATCTTAAAAATTCAAAATTTGCAATACAATAGTCTACAACACTAGTTTGTTTACATGTACATTCACCATTTGGGTCACCCTTGGATCTACCATTGAGAATAAAAATATTACAATGTTTACAAATATCAATAAGTTTTTTCCCATACTGGTTTACAATCATATCTCTTGAATTTCTTACCATTGAAAAACCATATTTTTCAAGACATCTTATATCAATTTGATCAACAGCCCAATTAAAATCAGTATCAGACACACGATCATGGGTTTGAACAAAAGGTTCATCACAATCATTAAATTCTTTCAGATTTGAGACTCTACTGTTAAAGTCACCAAGTAAGCAAATACATTTATTCTCTGTAGATAGATTAAAAATTTCATTTTCAATCTCTTCAAATATTTCACTAGATGAAAATCTGGAGTTTACAGGTGGTATATAGACTGTACCTATTAATAAATGATCATCGATCCCAAATGTTTTACCTTCTATTCGGACCCAAAGTACATTGTCACATTCATTATTAATAATATTACAGGTTTTAGCAATTGAATTTCTAATATACACAACTATTCCACCAGATTTCCGAAATGACAAATTTGTTCTATGCTTACAAAATGCACTAAAATTAGGAATGTCGATTATGTCAGCTTTATCTGTTCTTGTTTCTGTAAGGCACACTATATCATATTTATTTATAAAATCAAGAAAATCAGGAGATTGGAGTTTTGAATTTAACCCACATACATTAATGGATATCAATCTTACTCTAGATGCGTCTTCTGGTTTGAGAGAGTTACTTGAAAAGTTTTTAATTTCATTTTCTATTATTTGTTGTTGCTCTCCGTGGTTTACCTACATCGGAACGTTATCGGAACCTGGATCAGCCACAAATCTACCTGCTGGTGGAAAGATTTGTTTACCTTCTACGAAAAGTTTGTCCACAATCATCACAGCCTTCTTTCCAAGTTTTTTTGCTTTTTTGTAGTGAGGGTATAGGACTTTCCTGCGCTCGTTAATTTCCTTGGGGAATTGCTCATTCACTCCAAATGCTTTTCCCTCTAGGGTTGATGGGGCGGCCTTTCTTATTTTTTCTCTTTCTTTATGCAGCACAAACTTTGCGACGATTGGTCTGTGTTTATCCGTTAATCTCTTCCCCATTCGGTGTACCCTATGGAACTGTGGAGCTTCTGTGATATTCATTTCTGAGCTTATGAACTCTTTCAGTACCTCCTCTGTGTTTTCGTCTTGTGTCTCCGGTATACCACTGAATATGAGATTGTCTCTCATAGATCTAGTTTGTAGATCTAAATGGCGTTCGTTCAAATCCTCGAATTTATGCCTCACTATTTCTAATTCATTCAAGATAACTTCATTTTCATTTCTTATGTTACTTACAGATTTTTTCATTTCTTTAACTTCCCTCGTTTGGTCATCGTATTGTTTACTGATATGTGTCACACACTCCTCTACACCGTTAACCTTGACCTTCATCTCTTTTAACTCTGTGTTGACATTTACGGCATTTCGTTCCAGTTCATTGAGTCTCTTTTCAATGTGGTCTAATTTGTTTAGCTTAGTTGATACTTGTTCTAATTTATTCGACATAACTTTCAAAGTCTCAAGAATATCAACATGCTGATACTGCTGTTGCTGTTGTTGAGGGTTTGGTATTGGTGATAAATACCCAGCAAATTGACTTTGTGGACCCGGAGGCCCATAAGGAACGAATTGGTTTCCTTGAAAATTATTTCCTTGACAACTGCTCTGAAAGTTTACAGAAGGCGAGGGTGCCATTGCCGTTGGTGTTGAATGCTGTGCATTGAGGCTGATACTGCTATTACTATTACTCATTTGACTCTCCATATCATGAATACTTGGAACAAACAATGACTGAGTATTACTCACGTGGACTTTCTGTTTCCTTTCACCGCTTGTGTTCACTGTTTTATTTTTTCTTTTCCTCGGCATTTCTCAGTACTCTGTCTTAGATAAATTTCCACATACATAACTACACATTTAAACAACTAATCCAGGTAATCTCATGTATAAACCACGATGTATATTGTATTAAATTCCTGAAAACTTTCTCTGATTTTTTAAAGCTGCCTCCCTTCCTCACGCATGCGCATCAAAAAAAAGGGATTAACGATGTCCCTAGAATTATTTACCTGGCCAAGTGTTGTTTAATTAGTTGCGTCACAAAGACCTATAGATTAAGTGGACACGCAATGACCAAGTGCTCTTTTGTAATCTAATTTTTTTTTTCTCGGCAACCATTGTCTCCAGAATCATTTTTGATTGGTTAAAAAAGAATATCTTAGAAATTTGATTTAAGCAGGTTGCGCGTCCCGGCTGGTCACTTTTCATCATTGAATAAAACCAGCCGGACGTTTGCTTTATTCCTGCCTTCTTTTAATTTATATAGGTAACTATAGTTTTATTTTTATTTTTCCTAGGTAATTAATTATTGTGGTTAAACTTTTAAAATTATTCTAATTAATAAATTTTAGAGCTTAAGATGCATTTAGTTAAAGGATTTACTTAAACGTTTTATTCTTAGTTTTTTAATTTCGGTCATTGTTCACTTTGGTCTTTGTCTAAGTTAGAAATAATTATAGTGTAGTTAGTTACTTTTGTATACATACTTTATGCAAACTTGTTTACAGAGTGAAGGTATGTAGTGAAATAGTTTTTATGTTGCACAGTAAAATTTGTAATTTTTATGTTCAATGGGATCGGGATCGAGGTGCAAATTATTGCTAAAAATGGACAGACTTACTTTCATTATTGTTAGGAAATATGCGAGATGATCGCCGATGTGTTATTAATGATCTATTACATAATAATGGCATTTATAGTCTCAAAAGCATTTAAGCATTATGCATGTTTTCGCATTTTGAAGTAATGTCAGGTAAAGTATAATTTGCAAAGTTTTTCAGTTTCTTTGTATTACGTAATCGATCGCCGAGTCTCTGATCCCAACGTTATTGTTTACATTGTTTACATTAAAAAGAAAAAAAAAAGAGGTTATGTCAGGTTGTTTTATAGCAATGTTTTATTTTTGGTTTGGTTTAATCAAGGTATTGAATTATGATTTGTTGTTTAATTTCTTTTTATAAATTAAAATACCTTTAACATGTTTAAATTAAGTAACTTTGATTGGAATTACATTTTTAATTACATTGGTAAATTTGTAAGGCCTTGAGTCGCTCTCTATAGCTTTGTTTTATAACACTTTTCATCATTGAATAAAACCAGCCGGACGTTTGCTTTATTCCTGCCTTCTTTTAATTTATATAGCCTCAACAAACGGATACATCCATTGGGTTGAGAAGCTGCCCAAGTCTTTGTTTATAATCAAGATAACAAGACGAAGAACAAAAGGGTGTGACTTAATTTGTCATGTAATCATTTTCAACTTTAGATTGAAAATTAATAAAAGACAGTATTTATATGCAAGCATCAGGTAGTTTAGATAGAAGTTTGTTCAATCGGGGCCCTAAAGAATAGGGTTGAAGCAATCGGGGATCAGAGATTTACAAAAGAGTATAAAGGAAGGAATCCTTTCAAATGTTGCAAGACCATACTAAATCATATTAATAAGCTTTTTAAAATAACTTTTTCATAAAGTTTTCAGTTAGGGTTGGTCTGAAATCAGAGATTCAAATTTCATATTTTGCATTTTTCATATGCAGAGATAAAAAATCTTCTCCAGAACAGCAGAGCCATGTTGACCGTATTAATATTGAAGCATCCCAATGTTGCGTGGAATCAACTTTAGTTAAATCACGGCCGCCTTAAAACTAGAATCTGGTGCACAATATGGAGTCAAAATATTTATGGAATTAAAGAGTGAGATTTTTAATCTCCATTTAGTTTTAGTTTTAGTAATAATTAGTATAAGTCCTGAATATTTTGAAAATTGAAAAAAGTAGATCTACATAAAGCACTTTTTATGTTTTTTTTTTCTGAACCATTTAGAAACACAATTGTGTCATCTTCATATTGAAGTAAACATATTTTTCCTCACCTATTTTAATTCCCTTTATATCTTTATTTTGTCTAATCATATATCCATAATCTCTACACACAGGTTAATTATATATGTATATTGAGAGATAGGATCTCCCTGTTGACAGCGCCTCCTTAATTTTAAAAAAGTGAAAATAAACCATTTTGAATTACACATAGTTGAGCTATATTATATAGTACATGTATCCGTCTGATAAAGTCAGGACCAAAATTTAAAAATTTCAAGTGTTTTGTACAAAAATTTCTATGATACTGAATCAAAAGCTTTCTCAAAATCAATTTCTTGTCTTTGTACTTTAAAGTACATCTTAAATTATAAAGTATTTTCACTAATAAATCTATTCTTAAGAAAACCTCTTTGATTATCATGTATAAGATAATCTAATACACATTTTATTCTATTTGTGATGCACGCGGAAGCAATTTTATATATGAGACGCTGAGTAACGAAATTGGTCGCCAATTTTTTTGAGAATTCTCTCGATATTTCTCCTTTAGGTTAATTTGATATAATTCCTTGTTTTTGAGTGGTAGATAGTTCCCCCTTGTTTTTGAGTGGTAGATAGTTCCCCCTTTTGAAATCCATAGTTAATTGATCTAATAAGGATCTGTCCAATATCTTTCCTGAAAAAATTCAGTAAAACTCAGCTGTAAGTCCATCACTTCCTTGACTTTTGTCGTTTTTCATATTTTTCAGTGCTGTTTGAGCTTCAGCGTTGGATATTGCGGTAAAGGACCCAAGGGTATAGATTGTATACATGTCTAAAAATGAGTGTATACACCCTTAAACTTGTTCAAATGTCCAAAAAGGAGCCTACACCCTTTCAATTCATAGGGGTCGGAACGGGGGGGGGGGCACTTTTTTTGCAAAGATATACATAAGATAGGCATTGAAAATTGGGGCTTACCTTTTTTCGTTGGTTTAGCCACCCACTTTCAATTAGCCACCCTACTTTTAATTTGCTTCCGACGCCTATGCAATTGTTCAAATGTTCAAAAAGGAGCTATCACCCTTAAACTTGTTTAAATGTCCAAAAGGGAGTCTACACCTTTAAACCTGTTCAAATGAAGTGCATCAGAGTGTATGTCTTTTGGGACCGTCTTTACTTTTGAGCATCAAGGAGCAAGAATCAATCTTCATGTGTACTGTGATAATAGAGTCCTCATCAAATTGTAGATGTCAACTAAGTCCCAAGTCGCAATATTTGTATTTCTAAGATATATGTTATTCAAAACAGATTAATGTACACGATATCTCCTAAGACACTTTCATAAAGTAAATGACGGTGAAAAAAAAATAGAATAATTATTTTTGGATTTCCAGACAGAATTTCTACAAATCACGTCCTACACACAGTGAATAGGGAAGATGAGTCTGCACAGTGAGAACATTATTTGACAAATTGATTTATTTTTTAATAATATGTATAATAATGATAAAAATATCATTTCTCTTTTTTTACACCGGTGCATATGTATATATAAATGTAAATAAGAAAGAACTAAATACTGAAAATAAAATTTCGCTCCGTATATATTCAGCCCGTGGTTCATATATTTGCACAGAAGGTCGCATGATAAAGCACGACTCTAGAAGGCTCCAAATTGATTTTTATTATGAAGCAGCAATTGTTTCTCTGATCCACGGTAGAAAATTCCCGACTTTCGTGTACACTCCCGGAAAATTTGGAGCCGCGCAGGATTTCCCCCAGGATGTAATTCCCAGAATGGCTTGTGTACCTTGGAAAAAGAAAAATTGAGAAAAATATTAATACCGTAAGCGGCAGTTTTAGAACAAGAGATATATGGTATTACTGATACAAAGAGGGTAGGCAAAAATTCTAAACCAAGGTGCAAAAAGACAGACAGTAGATATCAACGTTGCTCTTCAACGTTGAATCAACGTTGAATTTTAGTTGCATATGAAAGTTGAGGCAACGTTGGGACATCAACGTTGTTTCAACGTCAATTTTCAACGTTGAGTAGACCTTGAAAATGGGTTGAACTTTAGTTGATTTTTAGTTGAATATCTGTTAGAAATAAAGTTGAGGCAACGTTAAAACTTCAAGCAATGACAACAACAGTGAAGGTTTGAATGTAGATGTTATACTTTATATAAAACTCATATTAAACAGTTTATTACAATACTGTAAGCACAATTCTTTTGAATGTAATTAAAATTAACTCCTAATCATATGCATTTTATTTATTGTAAATAATCATATTTTCTAACAATGCATTGATCATTAAGTGAAATAATCTTACCCTCGACTTCGCATGTGAGCGGCCCCCCGCTGTCCCCCTGACAGCTATCAACGCCTCCCTCCAGGTACCCCGCACAAAACATACTCTCTGTCACGTGTCTAAAATCCTTGTACAACTCTCTACATATCGTCTGGTTAATTATAGGAACTTCTGCAAACTTCAAGTCCTCCGGGAGTCCTGAAATGTTACTGAGTTTTGTAAATATACAATAATAATAAAAAAATCTTAACACTTTATTCATAGTTTTCGTTTTAATTCATATTAACTGTTAACCACAACAATTAGTTCTACAGTTTATTGGAGAATATTGATAGATATTATTACTTTTATTTCTAACAAATGTTTTACAGACTAAAAATCTGAATAATACCTGCGTAGATGGCGGTTATCACTATGAAACTTAAAAGGTAAATCATTTATAAGTGCATTATGAAGGATTTATTTAAAAAAAAAAAAACAACTAACTTTTTAGCTAGTCAAATTGCTTAAGGTCAAAATCAATTAAATGAAGGGGGCCTGCAGTATTCTCAAAGAAGATAAATGAACTCCTTATATGTTTTATAACTATAGGTTTGTAAAATAAGGTATATAGAAGCATACTCATTTATCATTATGTTTGTTTGTTCCTTAACGTCCCTCTCGAGAATTTTTCACTCATATGAAGACGCCACCACTTGCCGGTTGAGGGCTACAAATTTTGACCTGTACTCGGCACTTACGGCCATTGAGCAGTGAGGGATCTTTTTCGTGCCAGCACCTACTGCGACACGGGACCTCGGTTTATACGGTCTCATCCGAAGGACCGGTCTCCACGTCCCACAGTGGGATTCGATTGTGATTTTGGTAATCACAAGGTGAAATTTTAAATTATTTTTAAACTGTAATTTTCAATGCAAAAAATGAAGAAAACCAGTTATAAATATGGATTTATATATATATATATATATATATATATATATATATATATATATATATATATATATATATATATATATATATATATATATATATCAGACAAATGAAATGAATCCCGATTGCATACAATCTCTCAGAAAACGTCAATTTTTTTGTGACCTCTTCCTTAAAATGATAATAAAATAAAAAGGGTATCCTGATTACCTTTAAAAAGATCTCAAATTGAATTCATTGAAAATGATTCATTTTCCACAGAATTCTACTATGGCTGTATAGGAAAAATTAATTTTATATCAATTGTGTCGTAAAATGGATCAAGGACAATTAAACCTTTAGATTTGAACTTCTTTGAAATCACTAATTTTCGAAGGGGTTTGATTTTCGTTGTTTTCGATGTATAATGAATCTCGATATCAACAGCCTCGTTTAAAGTCATCATTTTCAAAATTTTATGGTCAATACAATGACCTTGTTAACAAATACAATCTATCGTTAATTCGAATGCTGACTGAATTTTTTTCATACTAATTGTTAGGCCATTATTTAAACACTGAAATGTCTGTTTGCTCGATCCAGACAATAAGCGTACGGCGGGTGTGACCGGTCGGCAGGGGATGCTCTATCCTCCCTGACATCTGATCCCACCTCTGATGTGTTAAAGGTCCGTGTTTCCTCTGCTCCTGATTTGTATTGTTTCTGTGGTCTTTTGAGCTTGATTACTGCTCGTTATCTCCATATTTCTTGAAGAGATCCACGAATTTATGTCCACCACGAAATGAATAATACCCAATACATAACTACTCAATAATTCTCCATCCACAAAATTAAATCCCCACAAACCTACGGTTTTTCTCAAACGACGAAAATTTGACCCCACAAAAATATTATTTTATACTCAGTATACACTGAACAAATTGTGTTTCAAGATCCCTGTATGACGTTACATACCGTTATTTCCAATAGGCTCAGTAGTATTTCCCCATCCGGATACAAAGCATTTCCGGCCTGCATTGTAAGCTGTTGTTTCCGTTGGCAGACATGCTGGCTGTACATATTGGTTGAATTTTATGCCGTCCCCGTCCTTAGCGGCTATTTTAATCAAGGCTATGTCATTGTCAAAAGTCTGCACTAAAAATAACATTGTTGCAAAACTGATCTATCAAAATTTCAAAATAACGGACAAGGAGAAAATAACTTTAGTTTTTTTTTAATAATCGGATTAATTTCTTGGGACCTTTTTACTTCTTCTTTAAGTTATTTTCTAGGTAATATGTTAAACTCCCTACAACTGTTACATAGATATAAACATATTTCGGTTAATTCTCTTATTATTGTTTTCATACATGAGAGACAAGCAGAAATTTCTAAAACTGAATTTCTAGGCCCCTGAATTTTAATGGGAAATAAACTAATCAAACAGTTATTATATGGAAAGGCAACTTCGAATGATACGTTAAAAAGCAATTATCGGTTTCATGTCAACCTCATTCTTTTTTTTTTAATTTAACCTTGGTATAGTGTGAAATACTCAAAATACCTTACTGTTTTCACCAAGCTTCCATCAGTCGTAACAGGAGAAAACAGTGCACGTCATTTAAGTGAATGTTCTCTGAAAAGTCTGAAGAACTCCCGGTGTGTACACAGTTCTAGTACAAGCTAGAACCCCCAGTGTGTACACAGTTCTAGTACAAGCTAGAACCCCCAGTGTGTACACAGTTCTAATACAAGCTAGAACCCCCAGTGTGTACACAATTCTAGTACTAACTAGAACCCCCAGTGTGTACACAGTTCTAGTACAAGCTAGAACCCCCAGTGTGTACACAGTTCTAATACAAGGTAGAACCCCCAGTGTGTACACAGTTCTAGTACCAGCTAGAACCCCCAGTGTGTACACAATTCTAGTACAAGCTGGAACCCCCAGTGTGTACACAGTTCTAGTACAAGCTAGAACCCCCAGTGTGTACACAGTTCTAGTACAAGCTAGAACCCCCAGTGTGTACACAGTTCTAATACAAGCTAGAACCCCCAGTGTGTACACAATTCTAGTACTAACTAGAACCCCCAGTGTGTACACAGTTCTAGTACAAGCTAGAACCCCCAGTGTGTACACAGTTCTAATACAAGGTAGAACCCCCAGTGTGTACACAGTTCTAGTACCAGCTAGAACCCCCAGTGTGTACACAATTCTAGTACAAGCTGGAACCCCCAGTGTGTACACAGTTCTAGTACAAGCTAGAACCCCCAGTGTGTACAAAGTTCTAGTACAATCTAGAACCCCCAGTGTGTACACAGTTCTAGTACAAGCAGAACCCCCAGTGTGTACACAGTTCTAGTACTAGCTAGAACCTCCAGTGTGTACAAAATTCTAGTACAAGCTAGAACCCCCAGTTTGTACACAGTTCTAGTACAAGCTAGAACCCCCAGTGTGTACAAAGTTCTAGTACAATCTAGAACCCCCAGTGTGTACACAGTTCTAGTACAAGCAAAACCCCCAGTGTGTACACAGTTCTAGTACAAGCTAGAACCCCCAGTGTGTACACAGTTCTAGTACAAGCAGAACCCCCAGTGTGTACAAAGTTCTAGTACAATCTAGAACCCCCAGTGTGTACACAGTTCTAGTACTAGCTAGAACCCCAAGTGTGTGCACAGTTCTAGTACTAGCTAGAACCCCCAGTGTGTACACAGGTCTTGTACTAGCTAGAACCCCCAGTGTGTACACAGTTCTAGTACAAGCAGAACCCCCAGTGTGTACACAGTTCTAGTACAAGCAGAACCCCCAGTGTGTACACAGTTCTAGTACAAGCAGAACCCCCAGTGTGTACACAGTTCTAGTACAAGGTAGAACCCCCAGTGTGTACACAGTCTAGTACAAGCAGAACCCCCAGTGTGTACACAGTTCTAGTACAAGGTAGAACCCCCAGTGTGTACACAGTTCTAGTACAAGCAGAACCCCCAGTGTGTACACAGTTCTAGTACAAGCAGAACCCCCAGTGTGTACACAGTTCTAGTACAAGGTAGAACCCCCAGTGTGTACACAGTTCTAGTACTAGCTAGAACCCCCAGTGTGTACAAAGTTCTAGTACAAGCAGAACCCCCAGTGTGTACACAGTTCTAGTACAAGCTAGAACCCCCAGTGTGTACAAAGTTCTAGTACAATCTAGAACCCCCAGTGTGTACACAGTTCTAGTACAAGCAAAACCCCCAGTATGTACACAGTTCTAGTACAAGCTAGAACCCCCAGTGTGTACACAGTTCTAGTACAAGCAGAACCCCCAGTGTGTACAAAGTTCTAGTACAATCTAGAACCCCCAGTGTGTACACAGTTCTAGTACTAGCTAGAACCCCAAGTGTGTGCACAGTTCTAGTACTAGCTAGAACCCCCAGTGTGTACACAGGTCTAGTACTAGCTAGAACCCCCAGTGTGTACACAGTTCTAGTACAAGCAGAACCCCCAGTGTGTACACAGTTCTAGTACAAGCAGAACCCCCAGTGTGTACACAGTTCTAGTACAAGCAGAACCCCCAGTGTGTACACAGTTCTAGTACAAGGTAGAACCCCCAGTGTGTACACAGTCTAGTACAAGCAGAACCCCCAGTGTGTACACAGTTCTAGTACAAGGTAGAACCCCCAGTGTGTACACAGTTCTAGTACAAGCAGAACCCCCAGTGTGTACACAGTTCTAGTACAAGCAGAACCCCCAGTGTGTACACAGTTCTAGTACAAGCAGAACCCCCAGTGTGTACACAGTTCTAGTACAAGGTAGAACCCCCAGTGTGTACACAGTTCTAGTACAAGCAGAACCCCCAGTGTGTACACAGTTCTAGTACAAGCAGAACCCCCAGTGTGTACACAGTTCTAGTACTAGCAGAACCCCCAGTGTGTACACAGTTCTAGTACAAGCAGAACCCCCAGTGTGTACACAGTTCTAGTACAAGCAGAACCCCCAGTGTGTACACAGTTCTAGTACAAGCAGAACCCCCAGTGTGTACACAGTTCTAGTACAATCTAGAACCCCCAGTGTGTACACAGTTCTAGTACTAGCAGAACCCCCAGTGTGTACACAGTTCTAGTACAAGCAGAACCCCCAGTGTGTACACAGTTCTAGTACAAGCAGAACCCCCAGTGTGTACACAGTTCTAGTACAAGCAGAACCCCCAGTGTGTACACAGTTCTAGTACAATCTAGAACCCCCATTGTTTCTGTGCTGATTGTGACTCGTTAATGATCCATGCAGTGGTGGTTAATGGTTTGTGTTGCGCTATTAACCGCTTACCACCCAGCTAACACACAACAAAGGGTGATTAAGGATTAAAGGGTGCATACACTACTAAAACAAGCTAGCTAGCACACAACAGAGGGTGATTGAGAATCAAAGGGTGCATATACTACTAAAACAAGCTAGCTAGCACACAACAGAGGGTGATTAAGGATTAAAGGGTGCATATACTACCAAAACAAGCTAGCTAGCACACAACAGAGGGTGATTAAGGCTCAAAGAGTGTATACACTACCAAAACAAGCTAGCTAGCACACGACAGAGGGTGATTAAGGATTAAAGGGTGCATATACTACTAAAGCAAGCAACAGTGCAAAAAAGGAAGTGCTCGACAATATTGAACATCAGATGATCTAAGTTGTCTTTCCACATTTTTTGGTATAATATAAAATTTGATGTTATCAATATTTAAACAAAAAATATTGTTGGAAGAATATATCAATATGCCGAAATACATTATTTTTTATGAAAGCAAGTAAAAAAAAAGCTATGTCCATCTTAAGCAGAGGAAGTTTGTTTGGAAATAATGATTTCTCTCAAAATATCTGAAGAGTAAACTCACTATTGTATTTTTCGTGTTTGTAAAGTCTTTCTATTTCAAACTCCTCTTCACCGACATCCGGGTTCTCATTGTTCTGATCCCCAACTCGAATGGTAAACAAACTGACGTCATCAAAACTAAGATAAAATGAAAATCAATGAAACAGGTATACCAACTGACGTCATCAAACCTAACATAAAATTAAAATCAATAAAATAGATATACCAACTGACGTCATTAAACCTAACATAAAATGAAAATCAATAGACAGGTAAACCAACTGATGTCATCAAGCCTAACATAAAATGAAAATCATTAATCAGGTAAACAAACTCCGTCATTAAATTTAATAAAAATGAAAACACCAAGATGGAAACACTTAACACAGATAAACTAACTGACGTCATAAAACTAACATATCAAAACAATACGCATCAGGAAAATCCAAATCTAACCAATCAAAATTGACTGTAGCACTAAGACTCCATAAATTACCAGCCAAAAAGGCAGTACTAAAACTGATAACTAACCAGTCAAAACAAAGTAAAGCACTACAAATCTATAACTAACCAAGCACCTTAATTTCTCTTACTTACTAATCAAAACAATGCGCAGCAGTCAGAATCCAGTGTGGACTAAGAATTGTCCCACCACACCAATGTCCGGAAGGAGGGCTTCCAATTCTAAGGCCTGCTTGCCAGGGCACCATGCCTGGAACAGCATCAATTCCTCCAACGATTCTTGGTAAAAGTTGTTTCTTATTCTCTTCGCTTATCATTGGGCGTTTGCCACAATCTAAATAAAAAAACAGAGTTCCCATGTTTTCATCAAACTTTTTTGCGTTGAAAAAAATTCTATTTTAGACAAAGCTCTTATAATAAGGACAATTTCTAAATATTTCATCAACTTAAAAACCTTTTAAAAACCTAACAAAAGATCTTCAGCGGTGTTTGTCATTAAATATTTGGATGTTTTTCTGTTTCCTTATGTAAAAATGTCATAAATCAGTTTCGGATTCTAATAACCAGGGAGCAGTCACACCCGAATCAAACAGGGTAGTGAGCGTGTAAACCATATATTTAAGTCCAGCTGTATCAGGGCGTAATTCAAATTATTAACATATCATACCTACACAATATTCAATACGCAAGGTAGCTATTCATTTACTTGTAAATGAATAGCTACCTTGCGTATTGAATATATTTGAGTTCAGCTATATTAGGACTTAATTCAAATAATTAACATACTCATTATCATGCATGTACCTACACAATATTCAATTTGCAAGGTAGTTACGTATTCATTTACTTGTTTAGCTTTGTGTAATTTATCAACGATTACTTTTACTGTAAATTTGTTAATTGTTAATTTGTAACAATTATGATCACCTGAAGGAAGTTTCTTGGATTCAGGTAGATCATCAAATGAATGACATATTACACCGGCATCATCCTCATGTGTACAGTTATTGACGCTCCATCCAGAATGATCACAGTCTAGTAAGGAATCCTCGTCACCCGTACAGGTGACGTCGCTGAGATAAACAGGACCTGTCCCCTGTCCAAATGCCGCTTGAGATGCTGACTCCCCACTCCTACAAAGGATATACAACTTATATCTCAAGATTTAAGAATATGTATTTCTTATCTATATTTCCTCACCTATTTCACAAAATCTGTTACCGCTTATATCTCCTTTCCAGTTTAACTTTATTTATTTCATCTGTGTCACGTGATCTATCAATCCTCTCTTGACTTATTAATCCTTTCCTGTGTCACGTGATCAAACAACCTCCCCTAATTCTTAAGTCCACACCTATGTCAGGTGATCTTTCAATTTTCACCTGATTCATTTGTCCTCACCTGTGTCACGTGATCTATTTATCAATTCTCACCTGAATCCAAGCATTCTACAGACAACGCTGGCATCAAGGTCGTCCCAGTTATCATCACAAATCGTTCCACTCACGCCATTGTATTCTATCTCTACTGTACCAAGGTTGGCAAATCCATCAAAACTGTTCACCAACCGAATCTTTATCTTATCTATGAAAGTTTAATACATTCAAACATGATATTGACATCCAGTGTATTTATCTTCATAAAATCATTAGAAATCTACGACATTTAACCCCTTCCTACGGCGCCGTAGAATACACAACAATACACAAGGAACACCTCTGTGTACTTTAATTTGGCTCAATTTAATTAAAAGCAATAACCCTATTAAAGTATTGAAAAATGTAACAATTTAACGTTTAAAATTAAATTATCATTCTTTCCCTTGCAGCTTGCAATTGCTTTATTAAACCTTCAACGTCAAAACGGTCTTACGTCTATAAGACATACCAGCTCTGAAAGGCGCTAAATTTATAATATACAGGAATGAAATTAACATTTATTAAGAGAGAAAATTAGAGAATATTAATTAATTAATGAAAAAAGGCTGAAGATTACGAACAATGATCGATCTCATAAAAAAAATCAAAAAATTCAAATCTGTGAACAGGGCATAAACACAAAAACTGGTCGTACTCCGAGCATGAAGATAACAAACGGTAATAAAGCTCTAAAGTACATTGAAACAATACAAATTAGGTGCAGGGCAAACACGGACCTCTAAATCATTAGAGGTGGGATCAGATGGAATGGAGGAGTAAGCATCCATTGTCGACATGTCACACCCTCCATGTGTTCCTTGTCATGATCGGGTAAACAGAAAATTCTGTAGACAATTTATTGTAAAAATAAAGACCTAACAATTTGTATTAAAAACGTCAGTCAACATTCGACTTAATGATAGATGGTATTTGCTGAGAAGGTCATTGTATCGACCATAGAATTTGCATAATGTTGAGTTTAAACGAGACTGTTGATAATCCTGCTTCCTCGCCTTGTTTGTCAATAGCTTGCCTTGTTTTAGAAATTGTTCGTACATAGAGTATGCTCTTGCGTAATGAATCAACTAGTACTGGGAGACACTAAACTCCATATGCAGTTGATAAGGGTATATTAATGCATAAATTGGGGAAGTTGGCGATAGAAACGTTAAATTATTTTACAAAAATAGAACGAAAAAGTTTACTTATTTAAGCATTGGATTCTTAGTTTTGGATGTAAATGCTTTTTTTTCTTTTTTTTAATGTAGCTCATTAGAGAAAAGATGTTGGGAAGCAAGTTTCCAATTTAAATTTGATCCATATGTTTTGGTCAAAGTGCACATATTCCTTCAGAATTTCAAACATTTTGAAGACATTAAATCGATGAAATATTATCTTTATGGTGTGTTTGCTGTTGGGGTATCATCTCATTACATATGAAATAATATGTATCTGAAAAGGCAATTCTCGTAGTCGGAGCTCATAGCATTATTTGAAAAAAAAAAAGGCTTCTGTTTTCTATGTTCTATGTTTCTTGAAATTGAATTTTTGAGATGCATGAAGGTTACGGCTTCTGTTCTACTTAGAGCAACTTTTATGTATCAACCTTCTCTGTAAACAAAAACGTCCCCAAAAGACCTGTTCGTATCAAACTCGTCAAATCAAGATATTTGAATGATTTTGTAATAGTTCATTTACGTGTGATTGTAAACTACAATATGACTTGTAACCATGAATGATACATGGGATATGTTGTATAGTTGTGTGTTACTTCTAATGGTTAGAGGTTAAGTTTATGGTATATGTGTTGTATAGTTGAGTGTTACTTCTAGATGTGAGAGGTTACTGTTAATTACATATTTGTATGGTTGTTTTGTACTTATAGTGGTGAGAAGTTTTTGTTTATAGTATATATGGGATGTATATTAGCTTTGGAGGTACATTTTAATGTTGATAAAACATGTGATGTATAGTAAAAGTAATAGTTCTGTTGTCTTTTTTCTGTGAGTGATGTGGTGTGTAGTTCTTTCGCACTTCTAGTTGTGACTTTTTAATGTTTATGATTTAGACATTTACATGGATTACATATAATGTAATATGGAAATAACGAACATTAAACAAGCTCAAAAGTCCATTGAAGCAATACAAATTTGGTGCAGAGCAAACACAGACTTCTAAAAACATCAAAGGTGGGATCAGGTGCCATGCCTCTCTTGTCGACCTGTAACACCCGCCGTGTACTCATTGTCATGACCGGGTAAACGGTATCAACGTGTTTGTCAATGGTTTGCCTCGTTTTGGAAATTTCCGTACGTAGAGCTACTCTTGCGTAACGATTCAACTGAGAGACATAAACTCTATTTGTAGGTGATAAGGTTATACAAACAAGAAAAAAAGAATTACCCATAGGCAATTGTGTTGTTGACTGTAAAGTTGATTGTGTTGCTGACTGTAAAGTTGATTGTGTTGTTGACTGTAAATTTGGGAAGGATCTTCTGGTGGTTGTAACTGTTGATACTGCAAATTATTAATAGAAATCATTGGGATAATATATAATATTTATTTTGATCATGTGTCTTTGTAAATCAGCATGAAAATGGTCCAAAACCCAATGAAGTGTACAAAAAGATAATTGCAAAGCAAGCTGTGAGAGATAAGGTGACAGAATACAGAAATGTGATATTTTATTTGATATCACGTTACCTGTGATAAGGTAACGGATTACAGAAATGTGATATTTTATTTGATAACACGTTACCTGTGATAAGGTGACAGATTATAGAGATGTGATATTTTATTTGATAACACGTTACCTGTGATAAGGTGTAGGATTACAGAAATGTAATATTTTATTTGATAACACGTTACCTGTGATAAGGTAACGGATTACAGAAATGTGATATTTTATTTGATAACACGTTACCTGTGATAAGGTGACAGATTACAGAAATGTAATATTTTATTTGATAACACGTTACTTGTGAAAAGGTGAGAGATTACAGAAAAGTAATAGATTATTTGATGACACGGTACCTGTGATAAGGTGACAGATTACAGAAATGTGATATTTTATTTGATAACACGTTACCTGTGATAAGGTGTCGGATTACACAAGTGTGATATTTTATTTGATAACACGTTACCTGTGATAAGGTGACAGATTACAGAAATGTGATATTTTATTTGATAACACGTTACCTGTGATTAGGTGTCGGATTACAGAAAAGTAATAGATTGTTTGATAACACATTACCTGTGATAAGGTAACGGTATAAAAAAATGTAATATTTTATTTGATAACACGTTAGCTGTGATAAGGTGTCGGATTACACAAGTGTGATAGATTATTTGGTAACACGTTACCTGTGGATGCTTGTTTTCGCTGAAATTTTGGGATTATTCTTTTAGGAAATACAACACCTGTAACGAATGTTGAAGAAAAATCATAAAATATAAATTTTAAACAGCTTATTACTATTTGAGACATCAATAGAGCCCTGGATTTGGAGGGTCAATAAATGAAATGTTATACTAGGTCTAGTTCATTACAATATTACATGTAAGTGAAATGTAATACTAGGTCTTGTTCTCACAATATCACATGTAAGTGAAATGTAATACTAGGTCTTGTTCTTACAATATTGCATGGAAGTGAAATGTAATACTAGGTCTTGTTCTTACAAAATAACATGTAAGTGAAATGTAATACTAGGTCTTGTTCTTACAATATCACATGTAAGTGAAATGTAATACTAGGTCTTGTTCTTACAATATAACATGTAAGTGAAATATAATACAAGTTTTGTTCATTACAATACAATATGTAAGTGAAATGTAATACTAGGTCTTGTTCATTACAGTATAACATTTAAGTGAAATATAATACTAGGTGTTGTTCATTGCAATATTACATTTAGGTGAAATAAATATCCTACCGTCATGCCTCTGTCCTGTTTGCAGTTTGCTGATTGGGCGAAGCATGAATCTTTGTAACCAATGAGGTCTAAGGTTACTACGAGAAACTGTCCATCTCTTTTGACGAAAATAAATATTAGAAATCCAATTTGAAAGATAATTAAATTTAAGAAATAAATTTTATTTTTGAGAATTCATTAAGACATGAACTACGACGCTTCACGCCAGCAAATTTCATGAAGCGCGTTAGCAAAAATTAAACTCAGACCTTATATTTACATTATTTTACAGATGACTTGCCACATATTTTTCTCATTCAACGATCATTTTTTGAAAAAAAAGTATGCATTATTTTTTTACTTCAATTACATCACAATGGAAATATTCTTACTCATCCCACGGTAGTTCATGAGAACGTGAACTTTTTCTAATTTAAAGTGAAAATATTTGGAAATGTAAATATTTAGCAATGTACTCATTAAAGTTTGCCATATAACTAGATTTCTATGGTCGATTGTTATTCGTCGCTATTACATAACTTTATGTAGTACTAAAATAATTGATTGATTCTTAAGAGGCTACCTTAAAACCTTGACTAAATCCCTCTTCAAACAGCATGAAAAATACAAAAAGTAGGAGAAGATGGAACTTCATCTTTATTATCTGGATCGGGTCAGGTTTTACACAATCGGTCAGTAGTCTGGGTCAGAGAAATCTGGCTCGGGTCAGAGTTTTTCACTTGGCCAGGGTCTCAGTCTAGGTCAGAGGATTCTGGATACTCTTCTCATCGACGTCTTATTGCATGCGGAGCTTTGAAAAGTAATTAACTTAATAAATCCTGTGCTGTACAATATATTTTAAATAATTAATGACGACATGTTTCAAACATGTTTTGTTTGTTTGTTTATTTGTTGTTTAACGTCCCTCTCGAGAATTATTCACTCATATGGAGACGCCAACACTTGCCGTGGAGGGCTTCAAATTTAGACCTATACTCGACACTCATGGCCATTGAGCAGTGAGGGATCTTTTTCGTGCCAGCACCTACTGCAACAAGGGACATCGGTTTATACGGTGTCATACAAAGGACCGGTTTCCATACCCCGCAGTGGGATTCGAACCTGCGAGGTTAGGATCAACTCCTTACTCGGCTACTCAAGAGGAAACGCTCTAACCACTGCGCCACGTGGGCGACTGTTTTTAAATGGATTTTTTTCTTTAACATATTGAATATCGATGTCATAATATAAAAGCAGAAAAGTACAACAATATACATGTACATATTTATAAAATTGTAGTAATAAATCGTGAGCGCTTTTAAAGCATATCATTGATGCATAGGTTACATTGAAAAAAAAAATGGAAATATTTAACCTATTGTAATAGAAAGGTAGATATTTTCTGATAGAATGCATCACATAAAAAATATTTTATTTGGGGAAATTATTGAAATGTTTAATATTCAAATGCAAATAAGTTGTGCTTGCATTCTGCTCTTGAAACGAAATATACCCTCAATCCCCAACCCCACCCCCATCCCCAACCCCCAACCCAAAAAAGCCCCAAGAATTGGAACGTTGGTAGACTGAAGATTTTCAATCTTTGATAATCAGGACATATTCTTTACCCCTGCGTATTCAAACTGGGTGTTGTTTACGCTTTTGCTTAAAGATAAAAATCAGCTGGTGTTCACATTGTGAAAACAAAGATGTGGTAGATACAAACTTTATTTTTGCACTGTTTGCTTGCTTTGTAGGGAAGCTTCGCTGTTTGCTTGTTTTGTAGGACTGTTGCACTGTTTGCTTGTTTTGTAGGACAGTTGCACGGTTTGCTTGCTTTGTAGGTCAGTAACACTGTTTGCTTGCTTTGTAGGGAAGCATCGCTGTTTGCTTGTTTTGTAGGACTGTTGCACTGTTTGCTTGTTTTGTAGGACAGTTGCACTGTTTGCTTGTTTTGGAGGACAGCTGCATTGTTTGTTTGCTTTGTAGGACAGTTGCACTGTTTGCTTGTTTTGGAGGACAGCTGCATTGTTTGTTTGCTTTGTAGGACAGTTGCACTGTTTGCTTGTTTTGGAGGACAGTTGCATTGTTTGTTTGCTTTGTAGGACAGTTGCACTGTTTGCTTGTTTTGGAGGACAGTTGCATTGTTTGTTTGCTTTGTAGGACAGTTGCACTGTTTGCTTGTTTTGGAGGACAGTTGCATTGTTTGTTTGCTTTGTAGGACAGTTGCACTGTTTGCTTGTTTTGGAGGACAGTTGCATTGTTTGTTTGCTTTGTAGGTCAGTTGCGATGTTTGCTTGTTTTGGAGGACAGTTGCATTGTTTGTTTGCTTTGTAGGACAGTTGCACTGTTTGCTTGTTTTGGAGGACAGTTGCATTGTTTGTTTGTTTTGTAGGACAGTTGTACTGTTTGCTTGTTTTGTAGGACAGTTGCACGGTTTGCTTGCTTTGTAGGACGGTTTCACTGTTTGCTTGCTTTGTAGGTCAGTAACACTGTTTGCTTGCTTTGTAGGGAAGCATCGCTGTTTGCTTGTTTTGTAGGACTGTTGCACTGTTTGCTTGTTTTGTAGGACAGATGCACTGTTTGCTTGTTTTGGAGGACAGCTGCATTGTTTGTTTGCTTTGTAGGACAGTTGCACTGTTTGCTTGTTTTGGAGGACAGTTGCATTGTTTGTTTGCTTTGTAGGACAGTTGCACTGTTTGCTTGTTTTGGAGGACAGTTGCATTGTTTGTTTGCTTTGTAGGACAGTTGCACTGTTTGCTTGTTTTGGAGGACAGTTGCATTGTTTGTTTGCTTTGTAGGACAGTTGCACTGTTTGCTTGTGTTGGAGGACAGTTGCATTGTTTGTTTGCTTTGTAGGACAGTTGCACTGTTTGCTTGTTTTGGAGGACAGTTGCATTGTTTGTTTGCTTTGTAGGTCAGTTGCGATGTTTGCTTGTTTTGGAGGACAGTTGCATTGTTTGTTTGCTTTGTAGGACAGTTGCACTGTTTGCTTGTTTTGGAGGACAGTTGCATTGTTTGTTTGCTTTGTAGGTCAGTTGCATTGTTTGCTTGTTTTGGAGGACAGTTGCATTGTTTGTTTGCTTTGTAGGACAGTTGCACTATTGCTTGTTTTGTAGGACAGTTGCACTGTTTGCCTGTTTGGTAGGACAGTTGCACTGTTTGCTTGCTTTGTAGGACAGTTACATTGTTTGCTTGTTTTGTAAGACAGTTGCATTGTTTGCTTGTTTTGTAGGACAGTTACATTGTTTACTTGCTTTATTAGACAGTTGCACTGTTTGCTTGTTTTGTAGGACAGTTGTAGTGTTTGTTTGCTATGCATGATAGTTACACTGTTTGCCTGCTTTCTAGGACAGCTGCAATGTTTGTTTGCTTTGTAGGCAGTAGCACTGTTTGCTTTTTTTGTAGCGCAGTTGCATTGGTTGCTTCTTTTGTAGGGCAGTTGCACTGTTTGATTGCTCTCTAAAGCAGTTGCTCTGCTTGTTTGCTTTGTAGGGCAGTTGAATGTATTAAAACCATGCCATATACATATTTTTGATAAATCATTTAATTAATGATATAAATATAATTAAAAGAAATGCAATTATATGATTTTAATTCAACTGCTATTTCTCTTCAATCATAACGCCAGTTATGATTTTCTGTAATATGTTTGGTGAGTGGGATAGCTCTTTCATCAAACCCTTGACGGGAACTAACGGAATAACCAAGAGGCACATCCAGGGAAAAAGTTTCTGTCGCGGACTTGATAAAAGAGATACCCGATAAGAGCCCAATATCAGCCAGAGAATATCCCGGAATAATATCCTGTTCAATAGTTATTTGCATTTTGCTTATATGTTATTTATATTAGCCATGCCTGTAATACCATGCATATTCATAAGATATCCTAGATGCCATGAATATTGAAAATAATCTCTCTTAGAAAATTCAAAAATCAAATGATAAAGTTTCATTATATCATTGAAGCAGAGGAGAGGACCTCTTCCGGAATCCCCAGTTTGAAGTAAAATATTTTTATTTTGATCCAGAACTTCGTAAATTTATACAAAATATTTACTGGTAAAGCTTTACTGTTAGAGGATTTCACTTTTCAATTGGATTTTTTTTTTTCAAAGTTGAGATAAAAGTGTTTATCATGTACATGTACTAGAAACAAATCAAAATTATTCTTTTTTAAATGAGACAATATTTTGTTTACAGATTAAGTGTGTTACAACAGGCATGTTAAATAGATATTTGTCCTTTATAACAGTGGTAGCTTACGTGTGTGTCAATAAGCATAACAAATAGATACGTGTCCTCTATAACAGTGGTAGCAAATGGATATGTTTATGTAACAATGTAAACAGTCAGCTATTACTAATGTTTGTGGTAATTTCTCATTAATATTGGGTTCTAAACTTTGAATTCCTGATAAAAAAAAATAGTAAAAGTATGTGCACTATAGATATTCAATTTTGATTTTTATTGAATTTTACATTAATTTATATCCAACATGCTTGTGAAAAACTTTTGAAAAAGGAAAAAAAAATAAATGATTTTATGGTAAATTGTCAAATCTGTCAAAAATAACCTATTGAATAATCAACCCGTTTGAAAATCCTTGGTAAAATAGGAATTACTTACGCTAATAGAGGGAAAACTCCTCAGATTAGATTCACTGTCCCCATCATCATATTTCATTTTGTAAACAGGACACAAATTAACTTTCCACCAGACTTTAAATTAGAAAAAAATACAGCTTATTAAAAAATATATGTTTTTATATATAACATCATGTCATGGTGCGTCCTGTTACTTAAAAGTTTAGTTTGCGAATTAATTAATAACAACGTGGTTTTGGCCCTAATTTTTTCTCTCTCTTCTCTAAAAGCCACTGAAATGGATTTAAAGAATGAAATAAAATAAAGAAATCTTGCCTGTTTTTATTTATGAATATGCCTGTATTAATGTTTGTTGTATTATTATGTGCCTTATGTATGCGGTTTTTGAGTGTATAAAAGGTTCACATTTAATCATTTTAATTTTAGATTTTTTCTCTTATCTTAACATAAAAAGACCCAAAGAGAATTAATTAATACATAAATGCATTTAAACGTGTTAAAATTAATTTGATTTAAGCAATTATTTATTGTCAAAGTAATGATGGAAAGAAATGTCGAAATGAAATCTTAGATATTTATTCCAAATCATTATGAAAACACATAGTTCGATTTTGTGCTGAAGATTTATTCTTAAGTAGGCATTGTCCACATGTTGTTATAACGATTTATGTTTGCACGGCATCTACAGTAACACTATTAAGGATCGTATGTTATTATAGCAACACAACAAGCAAAACAAATGTTGAGCAGCATTATTTTTTATGTCATATTTTTACCGGATATTATTGTATAAATAAAAAACAGCATACAGGTTTTTAAATATCACCATCACACTGTATTGTTTTGCACATAACTTTATAACAAATATGACGTTCTGAATTGTAAAATAGCTTGCAGATGATGTCATGATGTGTCCAAGAGTAAACCATCCATCTCAAAATCAGTTAAATGTTCAAAAAACCTTCAATGCTGAATTTCAAATTTTAATAGTTACTTTGTTTATTTGTCTACTTGTATTACTTTCCTTCGAGAATATTTCACTCATATCGTACTGCTGGTGGAGGAATACAAGTTTAGACCCGTACTCAGCACTTATGGACTTTGAGCAGTGAGATATCTCTTACCTGCAAGTATCTACATCGAAAAAGGACCTCAGTTTTTACGTCTCATCTGAAGGACCGATCTCCAAATTCTGCAGTAGGATTCGATCCCGCTTTTTATTCCTTTAACACGTAACATCCAATTGTTAAAACATGTTTTTTTGATAAATAATTCACCTACTCTGAATTTTTATAAGAGGACATGGGTTATCATAAATTTCTCAGGCTTTGACAATTTCTACTCTTCGAGGAATTCGCCTGGACTAACTTTTAAAACATTTCAGTTTGGTGAGGACTATATATCATCTATATATCTCCTAGAAGTTCGGAAGTAAGAAAGAAAAGGCTACACTGTATAATAAACTTTAATATATGATGAAAAGGTGAAGATAACAAACAGAGATGATCTCAAAAAAAAATCTACAAAACAATAGAAATCTATAAACAGGACATAAAACACGGTTCCCCGGAAATTCCATAGAGGGAATCAGGTGCCTAGGAGGAGTAAGCATTCCCTGTCGACCTTTTTACCCACTGTGAGCCCTATGTATTGATCAGATAGAAGGAACATTCCGTAGTCAAATTTAGTGAAAACAAAGGCCATACAATTTGTAACACGTCAGCCAAAATACATCACAATGATAGGTTATTTTTGTTAACAAGGTCATTATAAAGGCCATTGAATTTACAAAATGCCGACTTTAAACACGGTTTTTGAAATCCCTATAACATCAACTAATCTGTCAATGGTCTGCCTCGTACACCGAACATTATCTTGAGTATGGGGGAGTAAACACCATATGCAGGCGATAACGGAATATTACTACAAACTGATGAAATAAGGAAAGTTAACGATGGAAAAGTTAAAGTCATCTCGTTTTGTCATACAATTTAGTTGTTAGTCGGTCTATAGTCAGTAAAACATCCTAATATGAAACAGATGTGGTACATGTAGACTCTGTGGTGTCTTTCATTTCTAGTTCACTGGAATATGTCGAGTTGACATATGAATGACCAACATAGCGGCAGAACAATAAAATTCACTATTCTTGTCCCTTTTCCCATTGATGGTGTATACAAAAACTCGTTAAACTTGGTTTAGCAGTTCCAGAGAAGAAAAAAAATATACACAGGAAGGTTGAAGACGACATTCAAAAATAATAAGCATGCGTCCTATTTGATCAGCGATGACTTGCTTGACGTGTAAGTATTAAATCAACATCTGAGACAAAATTCCAATCTTAACTCTTGGTCATTTTTTGTGATCCACTTAGGACCAATCTTAAGTGCAAATTTATGAAGTTAAGTCTGACTTAAGACAGTTTCATGATCCTGCAGCCTGATTTATCGTTTATTGTTAAACAAGTAACTTGTATATTTGAACAAAATCATTCAGTTTGAAACATTTACTTATTGACACTTTAAACTTTTTCAAGGTAGTCTTAGAGATCAAATAATTATCTTTAATTTCGATACTTTCTTTTCCAATTATTGAAAGATTTAAAAATGTTTTCCATGAATAAAAATAAAAAAAAATTGTTTTCCTTTACACATCCATTTTTTTAAACGTAAGCATTTTAATTATTCTTCATCTCGTCATCAGCTCGGCTCGTACATCTCTATTTGTTTTATTCTAGATTAATTTGGAAAAAAAGATCCGGTTCAGGAAAAAAAATTACACTTACCAAAACGAGCTAAGACGGACAATAACAACATTCAATTTAAGTACAAATGAAAAAAAAATAAGCAAAAATGGTTTTTCCTCAACAAAAACCCTTCTTTACTTGTTATAAAAAGCATTTATATCACTAAATTTATCACTGAAGTACATACATGGCACTACAAGAAGTGTCAATGAAATTAAAGGTATTTTTATTGAACTAAATCTTTCTTTAAAAAGATAATCCTTCAATAAATAAATAAATAAATAAATAAATAAATAAAAAAGAAAGATCTTCAATATAAGCAAAAATTTTAATTTTCTAATCTCCCATGAGTAAGTTCAAATATCTAAATTACAAATAAAGATTTTGTTTTTTAATCATATGATGCAATATACTATGTTGGTATTCATTTTTTTCATGATCATGTTAAATGAAATGACTGGTGCTGATTATAGTCGCAATCAGGAATTGTACTTGTAATGAAATATGCATGGAGATAACGAACAGTATTCAAGCTCAAAGTCCATTAAAACAATACAAATAGGGAGCAGAGCAAACACAGAGCTCCAAAAACAGAAATGGGATGAGGTGCCAAGAAGAAGTGAGCATTCCTGCTGACCGGTCACACTTTGCACCTGTAAATGAGTTATTAATACTAGAGGAATTGACAAAGTCATTTAATGTCAGGTTAACAAGTTTGCAAGTTCTACGGCTTAAATACGCTTTGTTCAAAAATGTTATTTAAGGGAAATTATTTCCAAATCTAAGTACATGTATATATTGGCATGTATATAGTACTACAGTATCACTATTTATGGCATATTAGTCTTCCGTTCTATTGATTCTTTCAACTTAGTGAACCCTTTCCTTGCAAAACAATGATTGTCAAACAAAGAAGATACATGTATGTTAACTTAAAATAATATTGCAAAAATTACATGTGATGTAAATAAGATAATTTCCACAGATTTTGAGTATAAAGTATGCCAGAGCTCTAGTACATGTGTATTTTACAATATATACGTCAAAAAAGAGATGATGGATACTGACATGTTGACAGGAGTATGAAGGAACAAGGAAATAAGGAATCTAGATCGACCCTGCAGAGGGAAATAACTTTTATTAACTTGAAAGTCATCAATTTACGATCAAGAGATATGGATTGATATGTTGAACGCTTCTATGAACAACTTATCTTTGGATTCCTAAATACGGGTACTGTACGTATACGTACATTTGGAGGTGTTTTCTATTAAGAGCCTTTTGCAGAAAGAAGCTAAGTTCATCGCGCTAAATGTCTTGTATGTATTTATTTTTATCAGCACATTCAGAGAGCTAAATCAGGTTTTCGCTAATTTGCTCTAAAATCAATTTCCGCAAAAAATTACATATAATTCACAGTAATCATTGGGACAGTGTGTGTTTTAGTGAGCCCTAATTTTTGTTTCTGTTTTGACTGTTTGTTCTGGATGCATCATTAATAACATATATTTGATTTACATAACCTTTACATTTAGCATTACCCACAGGCTGTCTCTATACACCTATACCATAACATATATGGGAACTACTTGTCGCCTGCCGCACTGAAAATAGGGCTATATAGTTTTAAAAATGGAAATTATTCGGGGGCACCATCGTGCCATTATGTGTCGGGCTCGCCAAAGTGTAACAATCTTATTTTGGGCGTCAGCTGCAGGCGCTCTCTCCAGAACCCTAGAGAATAAAATAAAAGGGTTTTACTTCGCAACTTGCAGTCCAGATACGGTGCCTATGTTACCCCTTTTGACACCAAAAATCATAAGGGCCAAAGTGAGTCGAGATCTCTTACCAGGATCAGGTGTTAGTTTGAGCATGAGGCCTTCTTTTTAGAGTCTTATTATGGTATTTACTTCGGGTTCAATAAATACAGAACCTAGTCGTTAAACAGAAAATTTTGTCATCGGCCGTTACGTTTGTCTGTGTCTTGGTTAATAAATATGTACACCTATTGATAAGTAGAAACAGTGAAGGTATGCAGGCTCGGTAATAATGTTTTATGCTCTAATCACAGATTTGTATTGTTTATATATTTTTTCTGAGATCGATCACTATTCGTTATCTTCACCTTTTTCATTGATATTGTCTGTGCATACAGCTTCAACAGTCCAGTGCGGTAAATGGAAGGACTGGTTTAACTAGCAATGAGTTGATACGACTGTTGAGCAGGCCACAAATGTAACAGGTTACCAGTGAATATTTCAGCTGAGGGCAACCTTATGTACTGCATATGTATTTTGTAACTTGGAAA